GTCATCATCACTAGGGTAAGTGGACAGACACAAGATGTCATCATCACTAGGGTAAGTGGACAGACACAAGATGTCATTATCACTAGGGTAAGTGGACAGACACAAGATGTCATCATCACTAGGGTAAGTGGACAGACACAAGATGTCATCATCACTAGGGTAAGTGGACAGACACAAGATGTCATTATCACTAGGGTAAGTGGACAGACTAAATATGTCATCATCACTAGGGTAAGTGGACAGACACAAGATGTCATCATCACTAGGGTAAGTGGGCAGACTAAATATGTCATCATCACTAGGGTAAGTGGGCAGACTAAATATGTCATCATCACTAGGGTAAGTGGACAGACACAAGATGTCATCATCACTAGGGTAAGTGGGCAGACTAAATATGTCATCATCACTAGGGTAAGTGGGCAGACTAAATATGTCATCATCACTAGGGTAAGTGGACAGACACAAGATGTCATCATCACTAGGGTAAGTGGGCAGACTAAATATGTCATCATCACTAGGGTAAGTGGACAGACACAAGATGTCATCATCACTAGGGTAAGTGGACAGACTAAATATGTCATCATCACTAGGGTAAGTGGACAGACACAAGATGTCATCATCACTAGGGTAAGTGGACAGACACAAGATGTCATTATCACTAGGGTAAGTGGACAGACACGAGATGTCATCATCACTAGGGTAAGTGGACAGACTAAATATGTCATCATCACTAGGGTAAGTGGACAGACACAAGATGTCATCATCACTAGGGTAAGTGGACAGACACAAGATGTCATCATCACTAGGGTAAGTGGACAGACACAAGATGTCATCATCACTAGGGTAAGTGGACAGACACAAGATGTCATCATCACTAGGGTAAGTGGACAGACACAAGATGTCATCATCACTAGGGTAAGTGGACAGACACAAGATGTCATCATCACTAGGGTAAGTGGACAGACACAAGATGTCATCATCACTAGGGTAAGTGGACAGACACAAGATGTCATCATCACTAGGGTAAGTGGACAGACACAAGATGTCATCATCACTAGGGTAAGTGGACAGACACAAGATGTCATCATCACTAGGGTAAGTGGACAGACACAAGATGTCATTATCACTAGGGTAAGTGGACAGACACAAGATGTCATCATCACTAGGGTAAGTGGACAGACACAAGATGTCATCATCACTAGGGTAAGTGGACAGACTAAATATGTCATCATCACTAGGGTAAGTGGGCAGACTAAATATGTCATCATCACTAGGGTAAGTGGACAGACACAAGATGTCATCATCACTAGGGTAAGTGGGCAGACTAAATATGTCATCATCACTAGGGTAAGTGGGCAGACTAAATATGTCATCATCACTAGGGTAAGTGGACAGACACAAGATGTCATCATCACTAGGGTAAGTGGGCAGACTAAATATGTCATCATCACTAGGGTAAGTGGACAGACACAAGATGTCATCATCACTAGGGTAAGTGGACAGACTAAATATGTCATCATCACTAGGGTAAGTGGACAGACACAAGATGTCATCATCACTAGGGTAAGTGGACAGACACAAGATGTCATTATCACTAGGGTAAGTGGACAGACACGAGATGTCATCATCACTAGGGTAAGTGGACAGACTAAATATGTCATCATCACTAGGGTAAGTGGACAGACACAAGATGTCATCATCACTAGGGTAAGTGGACAGACACAAGATGTCATCATCACTAGGGTAAGTGGACAGACACAAGATGTCATCATCACTAGGGTAAGTGGACAGACACAAGATGTCATCATCACTAGGGTAAGTGGACAGACACAAGATGTCATCATCACTAGGGTAAGTGGACAGACACAAGATGTCATCATCACTAGGGTAAGTGGACAGACACAAGATGTCATCATCACTAGGGTAAGTGGACAGACACAAGATGTCATCATCACTAGGGTAAGTGGACAGACACAAGATGTCATCATCACTAGGGTAAGTGGACAGACACAAGATGTCATCATCACTAGGGTAAGTGGACAGACACAAGATGTCATTATCACTAGGGTAAGTGGACAGACACAAGATGTCATCATCACTAGGGTAAGTGGACAGACACAAGATGTCATCATCACTAGGGTAAGTGGACAGACTAAATATGTCATCATCACTAGGGTAAGTGGACAGACACAAGATGTCATCATCACTAGGGTAAGTGGACAGACACAAGATGTCATCATCACTAGGGTAAGTGGACAGACTAAATATGTCATCATCACTAGGGTAAGTGGACAAACTAAATATGTCATCATCACTAGGGTAAGTGGACAGACTAAATATGTCATCATCACTAGGGTAAGTGGACAGACACAAGATGTCATCATCACTAGGGTAAGTGGACAGACACAAGATGTCATTATCACTAGGGTAAGTGGACAGACACAAGATGTCATCATCACTAGGGTAAGTGGACAGACACAAGATGTCATCATCACTAGGGTAAGTGGACAGACACAAGATGTCATCATCACTAGGGTAAGTGGACAGACACAAGATGTCATCATCACTAGGGTAAGTGGACAGACACAAGATGTCATCATCACTAGGGTAAGTGGACAGACACAAGATGTCATCATCACTAGGGTAAGTGGACAGACACAAGATGTCATCATCACTAGGGTAAGTGGACAGACACAAGATGTCATCATCACTAGGGTAAGTGGACAGACACAAGATGTCATCATCACTAGGGTAAGTGGACAGACACAAGATGTCATCATCACTAGGGTAAGTGGACAGACACAAGATGTCATCATCACTAGGGTAAGTGGGCAGACACAAGATGTCATCATCACTAGGGTAAGTGGACAGACACAAGATGTCATCATCACTAGGGTAAGTGGACAGACACAAGATGTCATCATCACTAGGGTAAGTGGACAGACACAAAATGTCATCATCACTAGGGTAAGTGGACAGACTAAATATGTCATCATCACTAGGGTAAGTGGACAAACTAAATATGTCATCATCACTAGGGTAAGTGGACAGACTAAATATGTCATCATCACTAGGGTAAGTGGACAGACACAAGATGTCATCATCACTAGGGTAAGTGGGCAGACTAAATATGTCATCATCACTAGGGTAAGTGGGCAGACTAAATATGTCATCATCACAAGGGTAAGTGGACAGACACAAGATGTCATCATCACTAGGGTAAGTGGACAGACACAAGATGTCATCATCACTAGGGTAAGTGGACAGACACAAGATGTCATTATCACTAGGGTAAGTGGACAGACACAAGATGTCATCATCACTAGGGTAAGTGGACAGACACAAGATGTCATCATCACTAGGGTAAGTGGACAGACACAAGATGTCATTATCACTAGGGTAAGTGGACAGACTAAATATGTCATCATCACTAGGGTAAGTGGACAGACACAAGATGTCATCATCACTAGGGTAAGTGGGCAGACTAAATATGTCATCATCACTAGGGTAAGTGGGCAGACTAAATATGTCATCATCACTAGGGTAAGTGGACAGACACAAGATGTCATCATCACTAGGGTAAGTGGGCAGACTAAATATGTCATCATCACTAGGGTAAGTGGGCAGACTAAATATGTCATCATCACTAGGGTAAGTGGACAGACACAAGATGTCATCATCACTAGGGTAAGTGGGCAGACTAAATATGTCATCATCACTAGGGTAAGTGGACAGACACAAGATGTCATCATCACTAGGGTAAGTGGACAGACTAAATATGTCATCATCACTAGGGTAAGTGGACAGACACAAGATGTCATCATCACTAGGGTAAGTGGACAGACACAAGATGTCATTATCACTAGGGTAAGTGGACAGACACGAGATGTCATCATCACTAGGGTAAGTGGACAGACTAAATATGTCATCATCACTAGGGTAAGTGGACAGACACAAGATGTCATCATCACTAGGGTAAGTGGACAGACACAAGATGTCATCATCACTAGGGTAAGTGGACAGACACAAGATGTCATCATCACTAGGGTAAGTGGACAGACACAAGATGTCATCATCACTAGGGTAAGTGGACAGACACAAGATGTCATCATCACTAGGGTAAGTGGACAGACACAAGATGTCATCATCACTAGGGTAAGTGGACAGACACAAGATGTCATCATCACTAGGGTAAGTGGACAGACACAAGATGTCATCATCACTAGGGTAAGTGGACAGACACAAGATGTCATTATCACTAGGGTAAGTGGACAGACACAAGATGTCATCATCACTAGGGTAAGTGGACAGACACAAGATGTCATCATCACTAGGGTAAGTGGACAGACTAAATATGTCATCATCACTAGGGTAAGTGGACAGACTAAATATGTCATCATCACTAGGGTAAGTGGACAGACTAAATATGTCATCATCACTAGGGTAAGTGGACAGACTAAATATGTCATCATCACTAGGGTAAGTGGACAGACTAAATATGTCATCATCACTAGGGTAAGTGGACAGACTAAATATGTCATCATCACTAGGGTAAGTGGACAGACTAAATATGTCATCATCACTAGGGTAAGTGGACAAACTATAGCAGTTTGTAATTGATTTTATGAATATTACCATTTTTAATTGATTTTATGAACGTTATAGTTTGTAATTGATTTTTTGAAGGTTACAGTTGGTAATTGATTTTTGTAATTGATTTTATGAATGTTACAGTTTGTAATTGATTTTATGAACGTTATAGTTTGAAATTGAAATGTTTTTAATGATCGATACTATTTGTAATTGAAATGTTTTCTTTTAACTTTACAGTTTGTAATTGAAATGTTTTCTTTTAACTTTACAGTTTGTAATTGAAATGTTTTCTTTTAACTTTACAGTTTGTAATTGAAATGTTTTCTTTTAACTTTACAGTTTGTAATTGAAATGTTTTCTTTTAACCTTACAGTTTGTAATTGAAATGTTTTCTTTTAACTTAACAGTTTGTGATTGAAGACTCCATTGAAGAAAGAATGCTGGAACTGCAGGAAAAGAAAACCCATTTGATGAAAGTTGCATTTGGTAAACAACTGACAGCAGAGGAGCGCAGAAGGAATATAATAGATGACATCAAAGGTTTATTGCAGTTAAATTTCTAATTGTGAAGTAGAATGCTGATCCGCTTCGGATTGGCAAAGTTAAATAAAACAGCTAGGAAAAAAAATAACAGTACTTCGTAGAATATTGATAACAGCTTTGTTTTAGTGAAGTTACTATAACATTGATAATGCAGGTACTTATTAGTTATCAAATTATGTGGGTTCACCTACTCAGAAATGTAAGGCTGCATTCTATCAATATTTTATCTTTTACCAATACATAGATATATAGTAAGGTCACAGATGAACTCTGCTTCCTCTGTCCTATTGCTTGTCACATTTTTAAAAAGTCACTAATTATAACATTACAGCCTATGAGGAGTTTGTTAATTAATTCTTAGTTATACTATTAATAAACAAGTGTGTAAATCACTGGGTATTTATTACAGCATAACCCTTTCATGTAGTAATCTCTTTGTGCCTAGATCTGTTCTACCAGTGTAAATATTGATCTGAGTTTCCTGATTCTGATGTTTTACATTCTGTCAAGTACTGTACAGTTTTAAATAATGTGTTCATTGTTTGAGTTTCCTGATTCTGATGTTTTACATTCAATCAAGTACTTTACATTTGTAAATAATGTGTCAGGAAAATTATCTGAAAACTGTTAAGCTAAAATTGTATGTCATTTGTTGATTTATTGAATTTGTTTTAGCTCTGCTGTTAATTTTACCAGTCAGCTGTGTTTTGTTGACATGAAAAAGTGTTGATTGTTGTAAAGAATTTTTTTTATCATGCATCAGCTTACTTGTTGGTGATGATCAAGATTATTAATAAATATTTTTTTAAACTTACCATCTATTTTTGTATTAATTATAAATTATGTTCTGTTCTTATTATTGTATTCTATTCTTGTTATTGTGTTCTGTTCATGTTTTCTGTTCTTGCCATTGTGTTCTATTCTAGTCAATGTGTTCTTCTACTGTCACTAAGCTCAGTTTTTTGCCTTTGCTCTGTTCTTGTCAATGGGTTCTTTTATGTTCTGTTCCTATCATAGTCTGTCACTATTCTGTTTTTGTTTCCTATTTAATTATTGTCATTAATGTCATTGTGTTCTTGCATTAGGTTTGTGCCATTGTGGGTTTTTTAAATGTGTTAATGACATTCTGCTCTGCTATCCTGAACTTGTCATTTCACTCTCTAGTCCTGAACTTTTCATTTTGCTCCATTTGCCCTGAACTTGTCAGTGTTTTTTTTTTTTACTGAACTTGTCAATGTGCTGTTTTCCTGAACTTGTTTTTGTTCTCGTGTCCCAAACTTGTCATTGTGCTCTATTGTCATGGTGATACACAGTCTTGAACTTGCCATGGTGCTCTCTTGTCCTGAACTTGTCATTTACCGTTAATCAGAACAGTTGGAACTATCACATGTAAACTTCATTCACTTAAAATTTACAACTGGCTTCAAATTTATTTGACCCTTTATTCCCTGGCTTTACTCTCATAAACCTGTCATTGTGACTCAAACTCGAGTGGCCCGTTTTGGTTTTAAAAAAGGAAACACAAATTCTGGGGATTTCCTTTTTTTACAGTCCTTTCGTAAACTGAAAATACCACGCGAAAAATGAGTTGGGTTTTCCCGAACAATAAACATCTAAACTATTGGGCGGATGACGATTAACAAATTTTTTTTTTTTAGAAAATGATTGCGTGTGGATTTAAATAGCCACAGCATTTGAGATTCTAATTAATTAATGACCATCATTTGTCGCATTACACGAAATTCTATGGTTACTGGTTTATGTTTTCTAAACGACCGACCAAAAAATTTGTAAAACCTTGTTTAGATGACGAAAATCCTGTGCCATTGCCATACTTGACGGTGTGATTAATTTTTCCCAGAAATCGTGTGTTTGTCATGACAATGTACAACTTGTGTAGTCTGACGTTACTAGTGTTAAAAAAAACCATGTGTCAGGGTTTATAACTTCTCTACATCGTCCTTAAGAAGCTCATATAGACACACTACGGCTGTTTGGATAAGTCGATGACAGGTGGTTAAAGTAAGTAAAGATCAATTTTATTCGTGTTATTATGTTATAAAGTGAAACTCTTGCTGACCATATTTAAACCGTAAGCCTACATTATAAACTAGATCTACGATCTCGTGAACATTGAGAGCGATGTGTACAATGTGGGTTGAACAATTGTTCAGAACGTTGTACAGGCTTTACAAAAATACTATGGCAAGGAGCCTAAAATGTGTTCTAGGGGATACATATTAATATTAGGCCTATATATATATAGCACAAAAAAGTAGAAACGTGATATATTTGATTTTTTAAATTCTTATTTCCACTAATCGTGTTATTTTAGTTGGATGTAGTCCTACATATTGACATAATTAACCTAACTTTGTTTAATGTTAATGTAACTCAATAGCCTAAAGGTTTGCTATTGTTTCTAATAAACATCTAACACGCGTTTTCTCCAAACTTACGTAGCCTTTTCATGTAATTAATTTTTTAAATTTTACAACATATTTGTAATGTGAAATTGTGAGTTGCGGCCCTGCGGGCCTAGAATATTTGGGAGGGCTAATGGGAGCAGGGGATCGCACGCAGATCAATCTCTATAGCCTCTTCAACCCCCCTCCCTCCTCGGGCCAATTCAAGATACAGATATAATAGGGATAAGTTACGGATGGAATCAGCATATTGTCGGGTTTTTTTTTCTGTATTCTATATATTGCTTAGGCAAGTTTGAGTTACGATTTATTTTATACTCCGTCAGCCCATGACAGACATTCAGTTTCTTCCAGGCATCTCTTTGTGGGGGGGGGGGGAGAGATCGATCCCCCCCCCCCCCTCGAAGAAAGTCTACCCCCCCCCCCGAACGAAATGAAAGTTATATAATTTATATAGAAAATATATACTTTTAACAGTGTCCGCCCCCCCCCCCCCCCCCGAAGAAAGTCTACCGCCCCCCCCCCCCGAAAATTTCAAGTGCCCCCCCCCCCCCCCCCGGAGAAAAAAGTCTGGAAGAAACACTGTCCAAGACCCATTGGAGGGGTGGTGACCTACATAGTTCTAATAGCATTCCTACCAAAACTGCCCACTACAAGCGGAGACGCCATGTTAACATGTAATTTTCAAGATAAGAGCGAATCACAATGGATAATCAAGACACTTTTTGAAAGTTGTTTCAACTGGCAAATACAATTATGTGAGGGGCTTGCCATGTCGGTTAAATATTGCTCTATAGATCTAGTTGTTGGTTTTTAATGTTTCAGTATCAAATATATTACTCAGTTTAATAAGAATCATTACTTTGCGTATGCCGCCCACGACACATTAGATAACTTGACGATAATTTCCTGGGGAAAAACCAATCAAGTCTAGAGCTATTCAAATAAAACGTAATATGCTGCAAAGCTTAAGATAAAAAACTGAACTTCCCGAAAAACAGGATTACATTCTGACGGATTCCATAAATAGCAACACATTTGGGTCTGTACGACGAATCTGTAGGCCGACTAGGATGTAGCAGATGGTAGCTGTAACACTTACAGTAGAAGGAAGTTTTATATGACAATGGCTATGTTGAAGATGAGTCAAGGGGTACTTCCTATTTAGATTTAATAATAAGATAAGCAGCTAATTGAATCACTGACTATTTAAAAAAAAACACTTCTTAATTAGGCTATTTATCATTTAAACATAATTAGTGCTTAGATATACAGACAATTGTTAATCTCCTGAAATTAAATCATATCTATCGCGCACATAATATAAAATTTAAGAGACTACTAGGGCATTTTAATCCCCTACCCCCATATACTTTATATACAGCCACTTCATAGACCATAGACCAGCTTTCATGTTATATTTCTAGGACCAACCCTCCCCCCCCCCCTACCAACACGACGCTTGTTACATTCTCGACAGAAACTGGTTTTAAGGAAAAACAAATAAGCTAATTAAAATCAGCTTCTTCGTCTAACTATTTGTAGAACATTTGAAAAGAAAGAATCATAGGTATTTTTTTTAACATTGCCCAATAACCCCTAATACTACATGTACAATACAGTTTTAACAAAATTATACGCCTATAATAACACATTTCACTTTATATAATAATTATTAAAACGCGCGCTATTCCTTTAGTACAATTCTACCCCCCCCCCCCCCCCCACCACCACCACCTACCCCTAGTGATGGGCTGGGACACGGAAAAAATCCCGATGGCCCACCAATAACGGCACACAACCCAATTTGTAGGCTATCATTTTTATACCAACAGCAGTCGGACTCACATGTATTTCTAGGAAATAGTTGTGTTTATTTTTTTTTTTTAAAATAGGGGGCTTACAGTAAATAATCTACACACCTGCTGTGCCCAGTTTTCTTAATACGGCAAGGGGGAGTGAATTCCTGGAAATACGTGCATAGAGGAGCACGTGAAACAACATATAACACGATAAGGGTGTGCCTTTTTTTTCTCCCAACAAAATAACTTAACCCTTTATTTACGGAATTATGTTCTGAATGAGATTTTTACTTAAATAATGTGTTACTATATTGCTTTTGGCACATTCAAAGCATATATCGAAGGAAATTTCGTTTCATAAATTTTTAATGGCCCAAACAGATATTGGTACTTATAAGTACCGTCAGTAAACTAGGACATTTTTTTTCAAAAATTTTTTTTTTTACAAAACAGGAACAAACGATACAATTTATTAACTAATAACATGGCAATCATTATAACAATCACTTTTTGTAATTTTCACACATAAATACAGCACAAAAGTATATTTTGAGTACGATTTTTACTGGATTTTCTATCGGAACACATCTTAGACCTCAAACACAGCAAAAGTAGTCGACATGTCATGCTCCCTCAATCATGTCTGTGGTCTTTCTGGTGTAGCAACGATTGCCGGAATGAACATGCTTTTGCTGGAAGCTTCCAATAGCTAGTACAATGAGCCGAATTAACAAACAAAAGCCTAGTCATTCAGCACGCAACTACAAGTAATACTAGTATACTAGTAGCCTACTAGAATGTTATGACAAGTCTACACTACAGTGCAAAGTTCATAAATAGAAGTGAGCTCAATGTGTTTAGGATAGCCGTAGTGGCCTACTCCTTTCTGTTTACTGATTAAAATTTACCGTATAGATCTATACTATATGCAGAAGTATGGACTATTACTAGCCTACATGTATACATTACGTAAATGCTAGTTGTTGTAGGCAAGACAGTTTAGTGCAGTAAATATAACTAACAAATTAAATCTTACAACTAGAACTAAGCTTTGGTATACAAATGAAGTAAACTAAACCTTGTAAACGAGCCTGCAACTGATACCTTTATTCTTGTTATTTTTTTATTACTAGAAATTAACATGTAATTACAATATTTCTTAGGTAAACCATATGCTAAACTTCTTATAAATGTGTAAATATCATTTTTTGAGTACATTTCGATAATTAATTATCAAGACAATATTTATGTAACTCCACCTAACAATTCTGCCATTTTCTAAAAATCCAAAAAAAATGACCGTATGCCCTGACGGTACTTATAAGTCCACTTGTAAACATCGATCTAATACAAAGACAATTTGATTAAAATTGTATAACTAGAAGTTAAATACGTTTGCCTGACTATTGAAGTTGCCAATAAAAAATATTTGGGGTTGAAACTTGAAAAATAAGGTAAAACAAAGGGAAATCAAGAACGTATGTGAGAAATGTACAGAAAAATTGTGAACTACCGATATAGCAAGACATTGAAAATGGCGCCACACCAGTAATTTTCAAAAATCATTGATACCTCCGACTACCTGCGACTCAGGGGAGATAATACTATTAATTACTTCAATAATTTTTAAAATTCGTATTAAATTAAAAATAATACAGGCATTTAATTAAAGTGGTACTTATAAGTACCGTCAGTAGATAAAGGGTTAAGTAGCGAGAATAAGATCAAAAGCAAATGCTGGAGAGAGTAAATGAGATTATGAAATTGATTGGAAAACATGGTATAAATCCTCGTGGTCATGTAATACATTGACAGCACAATCGACTTGGGTTCCTGAAAATATTTCTAATCGTATCAAATTATAATTGAAAAACGTATTGATACAGACATCAAGTCCATCAAGCAAAAGCATCATTAGATGCGCGTCTAATTTGGCTAATAAGGGGAGAGGACATTTGACTACCCTTCTATTAAACATGAAATTATATCATAGACACGATGAGATTAAATAAAACATGTTTAGCGGAGATGAAATCTGCTGGCATGTTTCAGTGCAACTAAACACACCAGGATGTAAGCATAAAGTGCTCAAACAGTGGGTCATCAGATGCATCGCAGATAAAGTTCTTGAGCGATTTATGTGTTGCTAGCTACATCTTCATCTTGTACTAGAAAAGTCATAGTTGAATTATTTCAAGACAAACACATTAAATGTAGCTTACATACTGAATATTACATTGGTAATGTTACTGATGGGCTAGGACAATACAACGGATTTAGCGAATGGTTGAGTGACGTCACAGCGCGTCAGATGTCTGGTGCCACGTAAATGAATTGAATCGTGTTCTAAGTGACCCCACTCAAACCACGAACGATTCGGTTACACTTTTTAACTGCTCAATGTCGTCGGTGTGTTCTTTAGTAAAGAATCGTATACAACATTAGTAGTGTGTTCTTTTGTAGAGAATCGTATACAACATTAGTAGTGACCATTGACTCCTATATATAAAGTATGAGGGGGGGGGGTGCAAATCGAAAGTTTGAGAGGGGTGCAAATCAAAAGTCTGAGGGGGGTGTAAATCAAAAGCTTGTCCCCGGGTAAAAATTGGACCCCCCCCCCCCCCCCATTAAGACGATTCTGGCTACGCCACTGATCGTATACAACATTAGTAGATGTTTGGCTCGATCACCAACATGAATCTCGGCACCAAATCTTATTGGCGATTGTGGGTATAAAAAAAGAGATTTAAAAATAATCCTCTTTAGACCTAGCGATCCATTGGGCAGATGAATTAGAGTTCATATGTTTCTTGACCTCAGCATACGAAGGGAAGGTGTGGGGTCCGTTTTAAGTCCGTTACAAATGTTCGGGAACTGATAATACAAACTCAAGATTGTTGATTGAACTGATTTGTACTTTACAAGAACCAGCATCATAATACGCATTTAATCCCTAGTAATATTGCAATGGGCATTGAATTGCATCATGGACGATTTGTAAAAGCAATTGAAAAACGATTTGAAAATTCTGATTACTTGGATGCACATATATCTACTTCCTGTCTAGATCCGCCGATTTTCAAAGATTTTAATCAAACAGTTTGGCCAAATCATCGTCGCCCTACTTTATCTGTATTTTTTGTTAAATTCTAGGAAAGTGCCCCATTGGCTATTCTGAGAAAAAAGAGTTAACAGACTGCACAAAAATGAGACAACTTTAAAAATTCTGATCCGAAACGCTATGCAGTTGTTCGATGATTCAGTCGTATACATCTTTATAGAAGATTCACCGAATGAACTTTGGAATGACAAAGTAAGCTTTTAAGCTTAAGGCGATAGGAACAGAAGTTTTAAATGAACTAAATAATAATGACACAATTATAATAGAGTTGTCGAAATTCTGCCCAGCTTAAAGTTAAATTATGGGAATCACATCATTCTATAAAGAAAAGGTCCTATAATATCTGGGGTCTATTAATGAGAGACAGTGTTTCTTTTAAGCATCTTTTTGGGGAGAGAAGGACGGTGTCCCCCCCCCCCCCCTTCCCTAAAAAAGAATCTATATAGAAAATATATACTTTACCCCTGTCCACCCCAGAAAATTTAGTCCATTCTGCCCCCCCCCCCCCCTTCCCCGAAAGTTTTAAGTGTCCACCCACCTCCGGAGAAAAAAAGTCTGAAAGAAACACCGATAATAGATAGGCCTATAGCATACTTACATGCCTACTACCAAAAGACAAAACATTGCCGTCAACATTGTTATTTTGGTTCCTCTGTTTTGAATTCAATAAATAATTTATAAATATGGACCATTGGTGTGGCGCAACAACCAAACATGCTAAATGGATACTACGCTATGATAGATACTCTAGACAAAGACGTAGGTTTGAAGCCTTGATGGAGTCTAACTTTGCTACTCTGCATAACATCTGAAGTCTTACGAACGCCATCTAAAGACCCTGAGATTAGAAGTCTACTTGTGAGGAAGGCAAACACGCGATATTGGAGTTGTATTTGCGCATACTTTCGTGAATAGTCATCCTTTTTCGAGAAAAAAGTTTTGGGGGGCTTTAAAAAGAATTTATTCGAGTCTTATCTAATGCTGTTTTGATAAAACACCACTAGGAACCTACAGACGCTAGTAGGTTAACGTTGACAACACGCTAAACCTGTTACATCTATATTTGGGGCATCCACGAACAGAGTATCTTCCAGGCATCTCTTAATCCACAAATGACGTCACCCTTTTTAAGAATTTTATCTCGCCACTCCCCATCGTCACAAAAAGCCAGACCCCCCCCTCTTTAAACTGACGTCACATCTTAGCCTACAATCCCCTCATAATTGCAGTTTAATTTTTTTTAAACATTGATTTCTCTCTAAAATATTGGTTGACCTCGCTCAACATAGAGCTATGGAATCAATTTCTATTACAATTTACAAAAACGGTTTTCTCAACCCAAAATATCGTCTAAAATTCAGTTTCTAGCATTACTTTTTTTTTAAATGCAAAAAATGTGACATCACTCTATCTAAACCCTCGTCCTCATCATCACACATCGTTACCCCCCCCCCCCCCCTCCTTTCCCCCTCCCCCATTGGACGTCATTTAGGGACGACCCCCTCCTACAACATAACATCAAGATTTATTTTTTTTTGCTTAATTTATACAGTTGATATGCATTCGGTATATTTCATAATTTCTTTCATTTATAGTAAAATATTATTGGCCGTACATTCCCTTTACTAAATCAAGAATCAAGATCTGAAATTAAGTGTTACTGTGTTTAGCAACTGCGTAGGCCATATTTCGGTCCAGGCTAATTTTAACTTTTAATTTTAATTGTTTCTTAAATCATCCTAAATTTGAAGACAACGATAATTAGCCTAAACAATAATTATAATTTAAAATGTAAAAATGTTTTATAGGTAGAATAAATGCTGTGATCATTACCGAAAAGATAATAAAAAGAAATTCCGCGAAAGTACTTTTTCAGTATGCAAGTTTTTTTTTCCTTTTGTGATTGCCCTATTTTATAAAGAAAATAATCGGAAATCCCCGTAATGATATCACAAAAAACTCTTATAATAAAAGCGTTAATTATAGATTTTGCTAGGCCCAAGGCAACTCTAGGCAGCTCCGTATCCATTGTGAAGATCCGTGTTATTTTCAGCTTCCGTGTTGCTGGCTATAGATTTTAGATGTAAGTTGTATAAAATGATTATCTATTCTGTACTAAATTACTTGTAGATTCTAGTCATAGTCTTGTGGTAAAAAGATCTTTGTCTAATAAGTTAAATATTATTAAGTAAAATAAAATAGACGTCTAACTAAGTCCTAGTAAGTAGATTTAGATCTAGATCTAGAATCTAGATCTAGAATCTAGAACTAGAACCTAGTGTACAGTAGTACTAGATCTAGAAATCTAGTACTTTTAGTACTTTTAGATTTTAGTACTAGAATCTAGATCTAGTAATAGTATTATACTTATACTATAGTTAACTATAGTAACTATGTTACTATAGGCCTACTACTTTACTATAAGACATTAAGTATTAGTAACTAAGTAGTAGTAGACTAAATCTAGAGTAGTAATAAAATTAATTACTAATTAGGCCTATAATTAGGCTAGTTAATTATTAAAATTTAACTATACTTATATTAAGAAGTAATTCGAAGGCTACTAATTTGAATTATCATTAGGCCTAGCCATTAATAATAATTAATATATGAAATTTAGGCCTAAACTTTACATTATCATGTTAGAAATTCCTGCTCTAGACATTAATAGAATTTAATAGTTGTTTAATTTCAGCTTTTTTATTTTTCATTTCAGTCACTGGAGCCCCAGCTGTCATTAAAAAATGATGAATATATAATTTGAAGACTAGTTTTACTATTGTAATTTTTAAAAAAATTAAGGATTTTATGCATGGAAGAAAACACAGAAATGTTACCACTTGCAAGTGGAACTGTTGCAGATGATGACTTTGGAGAATTGCTTGATCAGGATTATTCTTCTGAAGATCTTCATTTTTTAAATGATTTGATTGACCAAAGCCCAGCGCCATCTCAATGTGAGACGTTACAGGAAAGGGCCAACATCGCAGTGTATGAAGACATCAGCCAGCCAGAAGTTTACCCTAGCCTACCTGTTGATGACTCCACTCTTAGTTCAGAAACGTCTCTTAATTCTGGTTTTATTAGCTCAAACAGTGTTCAGCCTCAGCCAAATATTCAAGAAACTGCAACAAATATATTTCACAGTGATAATATATTAACTGATTCCAGCTTACAGCCAAGAGGTTCTATTCAAGTAGATGCAAATGCTGATAACCTTTTTGATTCTTTTTTTGGAGGGCTGGAGAGAAACGAAAGCCCACATCCAACTCAGCCTGATGTACCAGAAACAAATAATACTCCATATGATAACATAAATACACACGGATTAAATTCTAGAACAGCTTCAACAAGATCCCTTGATGATGATGATGATGATGTTGTGGAAATTTTCCCTAGAACTTTTAATATACCTGCAAGACACTACAGCCCTGAGTTTCCTCAACCTGAATTTGGTTTGCCTGAGAATAGGAATATATATGACAGTCACAGTAATCAAGGGAATTCAAGTTTATTTTCAAAACACACAGTGCAGGATTATCCAACAGCTTCCCATTCACCTTACTTTTTTTCTAGAAATCTGAACACCAGCCATATTCCGACACAGACATCTCAGATTGAAAACCAACATGGGATGAGTACCTCTAGTGTGTTTGGTAACACAAGCAGACATGGACTTACATACCCTAGTTCACATTCCAGGAGTTTTGATAACCTCGATGGTGAAGTAATTGACTTGTCTGTAAACTCTCCATCGAGCAGATCACCTAGCAATCTAAGTCCAGCGCCTACCCAACTCCAGCCGTCTACTCAAAACGCAGCTAACAGTTTGCCACCCAGTATACAAGAACCTGTTTTTAGATCTTCTATGATGAGTTCAGTACAATATGATGAATCGCAGGATTATCCCAGACACAACAGTAGAAGTTCCTACTGGAACTCTCATTTAGCTGGGCTTTTGGATGAAGATGAGGAAGTTTTTGAGGACACATTGCGGGCTACAGATTTGTTGCATCGACCAAGACCAAGTAGTTTAGATTTCCCCCCAGTGGAGTCATTGTATCCTACAATAATAGACTCTCCAGTTTTTTCTCAAAGTGCTAAGCAACAGTTTGGTGTGTTCCAGTCGGAGGTTGTTAGTGTGCGACCAAACTTCAGCATGGTAAGTGACTTACACAGTAATTTAAATAATAACTTGGGAATTTTTGGTTTAGCAAACATGAGCTATACCAACCTACCTGCCATTTTTTATTGATAAAAGTTATTTATTTAAAGATCTTATTTTTTAAATGTTGTCATTTTTTATTTATCAATTTAAAAAGAAACACTGATTAAAGATTTTGTGAAATTATAATGATAAACATTTAAATATAAATGATGTTGCATATTTATAGTAAATTCAAATTATACCTTTAAATATATTTTAATATACATGTTGTATAATTAGAATAAATTCAAAATAATCTCTTACCTTACAAAACTTTATATTAATGTTTTTCTGCCTATGTTCAGGTATCCAACCATGAAAAAGTTGTTCTTATAAGATCATCCACAATGATGGATTTTTACGGGATTCGTGTTGAAAACCATCAAGGTGCCCATATAGGAATGATAAAGCGTGAACATTGTCAATCCTTGTCTCAAATCATGGACCAGTCTTTAGCTGAGCTTGATGGGTAACACATTATTTACTTTTATGATTATCTAGAATTCATAATTCTATTAACTAAAAATAAAGATGATTATGAATATAAAATAAAATTAATATATTTAGTAAAATAATGCAACTGATAAATTGAATTCACTCTGGTTGTACAAAAAATATTTCTTTATTTTACTTAAAGCTTTTGAATCAAAACTACTTTTAAATTCTTGTTTCAATATTATAAGCTAGCATAATTGCACTTTTCTTATAATTATTTTATAAAAGTTAAGTTTGTCTAACTGTGATTTTAGGCAAAAGAAATGTTAACTGCTAATTAATGTTAATGTTAACTGCTTTTCTTCATAGGATGATTATACACAATGATAACAGCAAATTCCGGGTACCCATTGAGGTCCAAGTAAAAGGGATTCCTGAAAACAAGTCGAGGGTCATAAATATCCTTTCACTTGCTGGAATTGAAGTCACTAACAACTCTATGAACAGAGTTGCTGAAGATCTGCCAGCTACATCTTCTTTATGGAGTTCTGCAGCTGTTGAGTACGATCATGTGGTGTCATCCAGGACATTTGTTACACCTACAGAGGTATTTTAAACTATGCTCACTGTTTTTTGTCTTTATGGCATGCCAATAGCTTGTCACCATTTCCCACTGTGTTTGTAGTGTTTGTGAAGACAGTTGTTAGATAGTTCATTAAATCTGTTATTATAGAGTGTTATACAATACTACAGAGAAATCAATGAAGCTAATTTAAAATTAAAATGGTCCTGTTTATGATGTAAATAAGGTAATATTACTGGGCTGGAGTAAAAGGAGTTTTAATGCTGTTTACCCTTTAACACATTTTTATAATTTAGTTATGTCAAAAAATAACCAATTAAAATTTTTTAACTCTGTTAGTTTAGGAAACGGAATGCTAAATAATTTAAATTCACTGTTTTCAGATGGAGAATGAACTAGACAAAATGTTTCAAACTTTAGATGAAGGAGACAAAGTGACAGAGGCAGCACCAGCAAAGGTGAGTTTAAAAATATTTCTTGTTGTCCAGATTTTCAAAGCTCTCAGACCAAAACTATTTTCTGTCTGTTATTACATTTGTATTAAATATAAGTTTTTTTACTGGCAGGCTGTGAAGACACCTCTGTACTCTCATCAAAAACAAGCTCTCAATTGGATGATGTGCAAGGAGAATAAAGATTCCCTGCCCCCTTTTTGGGAAAAAAGAAAAGAATTTTATTTTAATACACTTGATAAGAAGCGTACCTATACCAAACCTGATAGTATTCATGGAGGCAAGTACAGACTAAAACATTTGAATTTTAAAAAGTTTTTTAAAACTGGAACGCAGTTAAGATCTGCATTCTTTACCTCACTACTCTTAAACTATTAATGTAATGGAAAAAATAATTATCACACTTTAAAATATATTAATATGCATTAGTATTTACAATAAAAAAAACAATTGATTTCTATTTTTAATGTCTTTCCCACTTACAACTATAAAATCCAAATAGTTGAAAAAAATTACATAGAATTGTTTTTGTTAAATCTTTTTTCACACAATTGATATTTTACAAATGTTACACAAGTTTAATACTCTGAACTTTTGTATATGACATTCTTTCCATTCTTTTAATAAATATATTTAACCTCCTAATCATAACAATGTTTTACCACAATTTCAGGTATCTTAGCTGATGACATGGGTCTTGGAAAAACGTTAGAAATGATTTCTTTAATAACAACTAATTTTGTTAATGGGAATCCCATAGCTGTAACTCATCCCAGTATAAATAGAGCTCCATTTTCACAGACAGCAAAGGTAGCATTTTTTATCTTTTAGTTTTTGTATTTAGCTGGTTATTTCTTGGTTATTTCTTTCATTTTATCAAATTAAATTTTTTTTTAACTTTCCTTTAACGTTAATACACCTGAATATTTATATTCAGAAATGTATCTTCATCACATTATCAGAGTTTTGGCTTTTTAAGAATGGTAATTAAATTTAGGATTAGGTTTTGCATTGAAGATTATTTTATTGCTATGACACTTTAGATAAAATATATTAGCAAAAAAAGAAATTGATACATGTTTTAAAAGTCACGTTGTAATTTTATTTTCAGGTTTGCAAGCCTGTATCAGAGAGAATGAGACCACACTTTGAGCCCAGCGCTAACGAACCAAGTTCTTCCTACATTGGACTTTGGTCAGATGCTACCTCAGGAGATGTGTTTCCATCAAAGGAAATGCTCTACAAGCCTTCTCAGTCTTCCTCCAACATGTCTATGGAATGCTACAACTGTAAATATTGATATTTTTTATCATCTTATTTCACTATTCAGTAATTGCATTAGCTTGACTTGTTTATATCATGGTCATGCTTTTAATTTAATTTCTTTTTCCATTCATTTTATCATTTACAATTAACTTGATTATAAAAATATTGAACTGTTTCTGGAACTAAGTATAAACTTATAACTTTAAGTTGCAAATTCTTAAAAAGTTTTATCAAATAAAAAATCAGCATAATCAAAAAGTTATTAAAATAATAGTAAAATAATATTTTAATTTCAGCTAAATCCGTTTTATTGAGTAATATTATTTTGATTTTAACAATTTCTTTTAAAGTTTTAAACAATGTGAAAATGGAAGATGAAGAGTTTTCTTCATCAAACTTGGAACTCTCAGGATCAGTCTCACACAATAATAGGTAAGTTACCCAAAAATAGTCATAGTTCTTATATGCAAAAGATTTTAAATTGTGCTGTCTTTTGTAGTTTTATACTTGTTTTACACTTCTATGACAAATGAGTTTTAAGCCTGTAAAACTACTGCATAAGACTTGCTATGTTTTTATTTTGCGCTATGTTACTAGGCTATTTTATTAGCAACACATTTTATTTTTTGTATCCTAGCCCACGGAAAAGACAACTTGTAAATGAAATGCCAGACTGTCAAGGGGAATATAATACAGGTAAATTGTAATTGTATTAACTAATGAGCTAAAATTTAAATTATATGTGGTGATTAGTAAGGTGGTGTAAAAAAAAATTTGTTAGCTTGAAAAAATATTCATCTGATTTAGTTTGAAGCAAAACTTTTTTTTTGTGTCTTTTTTTTTTTAAAAAGGTGCTGGTAAAAAGTCAAAATCGAATGAATCTCTACAAAGTTTGTGTGAAGAATCCGATAATTTAACTGGAGAAGAAATGGCAGCCATGTGTCTTATGAATCTAAAGAAAGCTAGTACACCTTTCTGTGAAAGAAATGAATCAATGCCTGTAAATGGATTTAATTACATGGAAAGAAAAGAATTAACTACCGTAAATGGATTTAACAGTACTGAAGGAAATCAACCGTTTCAAAATGGATTTGTCTATAGTGAAAGAAGTGAACCAAATCCTATTGAGGAATTCAAATTTACTCCGAAAAATGAACCGACTATATATGGATTTAACTATGGAGGTAAATTAATTTTTTTCTAAGAAACTAGTTTTTAAAAACTATTTTCTTTTTATAGAATTGTAGACTTCATTTTACTGTTAGCTCGCTGTTGATGTAGACTATATTTTTTACTGTCAGCTTATTATAATAATTAATGATTAAAGGTTCTAATGTATAGTTACAGATAACAATTTCCACTAACAATCATTGTCTAATATTAATAGAAGAGTAAAATATCTGTTTCAACTGTTTCATCCATACAACAGATACAGCTGACCACATAAATGGACAAGGAGCTAATTTTACTCCCGATATCAGCAACAGTGCAGAAACATGCATCAATGTTGATGATTTGCCTGATACACCAATCACAATATATGATTGTAAGTTTATTTTGTCACTGAGTACCAATAACAATACATGATTGTAAGTTTGCTTTGTTTAATTTCTTTTTTTAAAATACTGGCTTGTGTATTCCATTCTTTTATACTAAATAATTGTTAATGAATGAAGTATGTATAGTTATAATAAATAAATATATTCTTACAATATGTATTAAAACAATTTCCAGTAGGCAAATACAAAAGGCTAACATTTGCATGGATTTTTAACCTTTACTAAATAAATCAAAGTAATTGTTTTGGGGTTTGTTTGAAAAACATTTTTTATAACACTTTTTAAATCTTCAGCTGATGAAGACAGTACTGAAAATCACTCAGCCATCCACAGTTCACCCAAAAAACATAATGCTGGTAAGACATGATTAGGAAATTCCAAGCCTAACCATTTTTTGCTTCTCAGTGTGAACAGTTCGAAATGTGTCAAAAAATGTGTTCTTTTACTCCCATTTGTTGAAAAAATGTGTTTTTAGTCTCAACTGTTAACGATTTTTTTTTATTATAGTCCCACCTGTTGAAGAGAAAAAATACTCAACATGGGTTGACAAAGAGACTGGTCGTACGTTAACAGATGGACCCAGGGGAACTTTGATTATCTGCCCCCTTAGTGTCATCAGTAACTGGGTGGTAAGTTTGAATTGTTTTGTTTATTTTTGGTGCAGGTTTTAAAAGAAGTGAAACTATGCTTGTGTATAATTGTTTTACAGAAGAAAACATTAAACGTTGGGATATTAACATTTCAATGACAAGATTTCTAAAAATACTTTCTTTTACATTATAAAATGTACTAGTCACATATTTTGAAATAGACTTAAACTAGCTACTTAATGTAGTTGCTAACATAAAAAATGTATAAAATTTAAAAACAAAATTGAAACAGACTTGTATCATAAAAAGATGCCATTTATTCAAATTTTTATTTTTTGCCATCAGGACCAGTTTGAGGAACACATTCATAAAACTGTCTGCCTCCATCTTCATGTTTACTACGGCCCAAAGCGCACGAACAATGTGGAGTTTCTGCAGGACCAAGACGTCATCATTACTACCTATTCAACACTAATGTCAGATTTTAAGGTAACCCATGACAAAAATTATTTTTGAGCTCTGTTCAAGTATTGTATATTTGAAAAAAATAATTTTTTTAAAATGGACCCCTTTATGCCCATTGAGGCACATGAAGTAGAGTTCATCTGTACAACCTTGACCATGATTGTTGTCGTTTGAACTATGTCCAGCAGTTACTGTCTTTAATATTCTATCCTAACTCAGCTTAATGGATCAGGAAATGTTGAATGAGTTCAAGCCAGGGAACTTTTTTGTCTCATTCAATTTTGTGTTTTATAACCTTGAGACATTCTTTATGTACAGAAAGGGTCTGATAGCCCGCTACACCAGATTCAGTGGCTTCGTATTGTACTTGACGAGGGGCACACAATAAGAAATCCTGCAGCCCAACAAACAAAAGCCATATTCCAGTTGAATTCCATCAGGCGATGGGTTTTAACAGGTAATTTATTTTCTCAGTCTGCTTCAACTTTTTTCATCAATATTGTGTAATAAACATAGGCTGGAGCGTGTATTCTCATTTGGAGTTTGTACACCACAAATTGTTTTAATCTGTTTATTTAAGACAGTCTAATTTATTTCTTTTGAACTAGGCACTCCAATACAAAACTCTCTGAAAGATCTGTGGTCCCTGATCAACTTCCTACAAGTAAAACCATTCACTGAGAAGAAAATCTGGAATGAGATCATTGCCTTGCCTCTAGTCAAAAGAGAGCGTACAGCACTCAGGTGAGATAAAAAAAAAATTTTCAGTTATAATTTATAACAGTGGTCACATTGCTAAAGGTGAGGCATTAATAATAAATTAATATAAAAATTAATATAAAAATATATCAGTCATTTACTTACATATATAACATTTAGTTTTTAAATGTTAATATTGAAAACAGAAGTATTTTTTTTAACTACATAACTAAAGTTACCCATTTTAAGTTATTATCTTTAAATTGGTCTTTTCTAAAATTTTGTATACATAAAATAATCAAATATTGTTTTATTAATAATAAATTTAGCACAATCTTTTCACAGAAATTGAAAACTGTGTTATTTATCAATAAATTTTCAACAACATGAATTTTTCATAATTGAAATTTTTATTATTTAATTTAGACGAGTGGCACATCTAGTAAAAAATCTGGCTATGCGTCGCACAAAATGTCAGCAGCTGAATGGCAAACCTCTAGTGTCTTTACCTAAACGTGAAGTTTACTTAGAGAAAATTACATTAACTGCTGATGAAAGAAAAGAGTATGAATTTTTGCAGAGCAATGGCAAAAATATTGTTGGCAAGTAAGTCAAAAATGTAACCTCTTGAAAGTAACTTGAAAGTTGATTTTTAATAGTTCCTGTTAATTTGGATAATGATTTTATAAATAAAATTAACTGATCCCTAATAAAAATATGTAGAAACTGCAGTTTTTTCTTTGTCTGATGAAAATCTTTGATAGAAATGGAATGTTTGGTAGTTTAGTTACATTTGCTGACACACACACACTTCAAAAATGAGACTTAACTCTGATATTATGTGTAATCTGCAGCTACTACAGGGAAGGAACTCTCCTAGATAATTATGGAGCTGTCCTGACAATCCTATTAAGGCTACGACAGATGTGTTGTCATCCACGTCTCATACCAAGATCTGCACTTAAACAGAGAAAACTAGGTTTGTCTGCCTGCTCTTCGTTTTTTTAATTTCCCGGTATATAAATTTAGCAGCTTCAGTTTTTTTGTTTGTTCATAGTTCATCCAACTGTAATGTCAATAGCCTATGAGAAATTAAACAATAATTTCATTTTCTAAATATTTTTTTTATCCTTTGAATTTATTTTTTTTTTATTAAAAAATTTTGTTTCTTAAATTTTTTTATTTAAGGAATATAATTTTATTCCTTTCAATTTTTTGTTTTTAGAATTGGATGGTTCAGTACAGAGAGACTTGACCGGAGCCGAGAAAGAAGAACGTCAGAAGCTGATAGATCTGCTGAAGACAGTCCTGGAGTCTGGATCTGATGAAGAATGTTCCATATGCTTAGAAAGTCTCAAGCAGCCTGTGATAACAACATGTGCTCATGTCTACTGCAAGAACTGCATTGAAGCTGTGTTTGAAAAAAGTCAAGTAGGAATTCTTATATCTATTTATTATGTATTTTTATATAGACTGCATTTTGTGTAATAATTCATAGTTATTTGTCCAAATTAATAAAAACTATAAAATATATATTATTTGCAACATATTTGTGATTAATTATTTGATCTTTTTGCTTGCCTAGTAATAAGCTACAAAGATCTATCCTCTTTGTTAGGAAGTTTAAAAAGTTGAACTTATTAAAGATTCATGTACTCTTTTGTATTTTAGGATCCAAAATGCCCAATGTGTAGAGCAATGCTGGACAGCTCTGGTCTAATTGGTGTGTCTGAGACTAAAGATGGGACAGGTGAGGAAGAGAATGAGTTGGATCCTGACGAGTGGCGCACTAGCTCAAAGGTAAATCACCGTGGTTTAACTTTTGCTACAGCTTTCTCAGTTTTTTAAAGGAAATGCTTCATTTTTATTATAATTTTTAATTTTGAAGCAAACATGAATAAAATGAACATGTTTTGAACAAGCATGATTGAAACATAAATGGAAAGTGAACAAACATTTTGATACTCTATTAGTATCATAAACTTGCTGTTTGTACCTGTAGGTGGATGCCTTGATGAAAGCTTTGAATGAACTAAGACAAAGGGAGCCTAATGTGAAGAGTGTAGTTGTATCACAGTTCACTTCCCTGTTGACTTTACTGGAAACACCCTTATAGTAAGTCACACATGCAATGGGTTTATTTATTAATTATTGTATTCCCAATTCTTAACACCTTCCAAGATAAATTCTTTAGATACTTTACTACTTTCAGCTCTGAAAATGTGCTAGACTTTACTGCTACTATTCTCAAAAATAATAGTTTTCTGTAAATATTTATTACTTTTTATGTTTCACCATGACCTAAGGAGTTGTTGATTACATGATCTTGCTTTAGATTATTATCCTATCACACCCCTTATCCTTACTAACCACTCTTAAAAAGATGTTGCTCTTCAACCCCTTCCTGTAATCCATTTTACTCAACCCTTTCATATAATCCATTTTACTCAATCCCTTCATGTAATCCACTTAACTCAACCCCTTCCTGTAATCCATTTTACTTAACCCTTTCATGTAATCACAGACTTCAATATTTTTAATACACTAAAGAAACAGTAATGTGCACAACACAAGTTATCATATTCTTGTTAAATTCTCAGTGAGCAGGGGTTCCATTTTGCTCGTCTTGATGGCAGCATGAAGGCCTCGGACAGAGCGCAGGCTGTCCAACTGTTCTCATCCCCGGGGCCTGACACGCCCACCATCTTCCTCCTGTCTCTTAAAGCTGGTGGAGTGGGCATCAATTTAACTGCTGCTTCCAGAGTTTTTCTCATGGATCCGGTGAGTTTAAATCTTATTGCTATTTTTATTGCTTAAACCATGACTTCTGACTTACTAGAAAACAAAGCTGTTATTTAATTTAGTTCCCCTTAACCAAAGGATTCATGGGCTGGTTAAATCTTCACTCATGGACCTGTGATGACTTTCTTTTAGGGACTTACCCAAGACAAGTTTACACTGCCAGCAATACATTTCTCTTTTAAAAAAAGAATAATCTTAAAGTTCTAAAATGAAGAATATTCAAAATTAAATATTTACCTTTATTTAAAGGTGAAATGTTTACCTGTGTAATTAATGAATGCCCACCTGTAATTAATAATGAAATGTTTACCTGTGTTAATTAATTAACACCCACCTGATGATATGTTTACCTGTATTTGAATGATGTTTATCCCCAGGCGTGGAACCCTGCCGCAGAAGAGCAATGTTTTGATCGTTGTCACAGATTGGGGCAAACAAATGATGTCATCATCACAAAGGTGGGGTTTACATAGTCAACATCAGCCACATATAAGTTAACCATTAGTTTAAAATAGTCTTTTTTTAATTGCTCAAATTTTGAATAATTTAAAAATGTATTTACTTTCTTTTGCTCTGTTTAGTTATCTTCAAATTTAGAAATACTCCACAAATCACTCTTTAGCCTACTTTTGATGAGATATTTACATAATTAACAATTGTTTCTGTTGCTTTTTTATTGAAAGCTTTAAAAATTGTTTCTGTAAGATTGTTATTGAAAATTTTATATTTTGTTTCTGTTTGTTATTGAAAGTTTTATCAATGGTTATTTTGTGTTGAACATTTTATTTTAGCTATAACAATTGTTTTAGTTAGTTTGTAATTGACAGTTTTATCTATTATTTCTGTTAGTTTGTCATTGAAAGTTCCATTGAAGAAAGGATGCTGGAACTTCAGGACAAGAAGAGACAGCTGATCAACGGAGTGTTAGACAAAAAGCTATCAGCTGAGCAACGAAGAGACAATCGCATCAATGAAATCAGAAACCTTCTAGACCTTTAAAGTCTAAAGTTTATCAAAACCAAGTGCTTTCACATTATATTACATTGGCTGTTCTACCATTTACATTATGCTGTGTTCAATGTAGTTTGTTCCATCTAATGTAAAGGATTTATGTGCCTTTAGAATATGAATTTATTTTTGATGTTATGTTTTTACAATATTTTTAACATTATAACTCAATATATATTTTGTATTTAAATAATAATTTATGTGATTTTTAAATCAACTTTTTAAAAACTGTTTTAAAATAAATGTCATGACTATTTGTTAAATTTATTCGAAGAAGCGTGTATATGATGGAAAATGTTTAAACATACTTAATGGGCAGCAACATCTCTCTGTACGCTATCATGATTTACTTGTTACATTCACGTTGTTAAAGTTTGTATCTAACACATCCTAGTCCCAGCCTGTACCAATCAATAATGTTTGTAAATTTACTACAAAAATACTTTTCTTTTTGCTGTCAAGTACAACAGTTATCATTGTTAACATAAAAAGTTACGCTAGTTATTTAGTAATTGTTAGCCTGTATAAGAAAATGTTAAGCAAAATGTATCCTAAAACTGATTATTATCACCAAGAAGCAATGTAAACAATTCAAGACTGATGAAATATGGAAAAATGAATATTAAGATTTTAAAAATATTCTCTACAATTATTTGTACTTATTTAAAAATTAAACTTACAAATTTTTTACAAATGCACTTAATACTAATTAGAAAAGCTTTTAAAATATGAAAATTTTAGGAGCCCTGAAAATGTTTTAAATACATTGTAAAGTTGTCACAATATGTAATTAATTCTTTAAAAATTTGATATTTTTAAAGTGAATCATTTAATGTAATTTAAAAAAAAAACATTTTGCTGTAGATCCATCATTTTTAGAAATGTGGAGGGTTCTGTATAATTTTGTAATTAGTTTTTGTCTCAATCACCTGGAAATTAATGCTTTAATATTCTATATGTGTGATGTATTTATCTGAGGCAATCATGTATATATTCATAGATTCTTTAATGTTTCCATTACTTAAAGAATCCTACTCAAATAAATGAATATCTGATGCCTTTAGTCAGTGAAAATGTTTGTTTTTAAATTTGAAGTTTTTTTTATTAACTGTGATGTCATTTCAGAATAGAAGGGTCATTTTCCAAGAATTGTGTAGTGTGCCTTTGTAGATTTGAGATATTTAGATTTTTTAATTATATATAAACTATTGCTTCTAGGCACATTTTATTAGTTTATAATTCTCATGTTATTAAAGGTTATGTAGTTACATTCTTGCAGCATACTTGTTTGTTGTCAGCCCAATTTTGGGCTTTAATAATTGGGTTACTTTTCATTTACTAAGTTTTGTTTATAAAGAATATTAATTAACAGATTTAACAAGATGCTATTGCTAATTAAGATTTTAACAGATTTCTAAATTGTTTCCCGATGATAAAAATATTTCACTTTTTATTTTTGTCATTTGTGTTTTGGAAAATGACTCTTTGATTTGTTATGAGACTATTATTTTGTGTGGCTGTGTGACATTTAAATAAAAAATCCTTTTGTTTATCTTTCTTTGAAGTATACTCTAATGCAGTGGTTCTCAAACATTTGTCATTAATGTGATCAGATCAGTACTGGAGGCCACGCCTCCCTAAAAGCCCTTCCCACACATTTGTTGAATGTTGAGGCTCTACTCAGATGACTGGGCTTACAGTATAATTACTCTATATGGCTAGTAAATTATATGTATCATTTGAATTTTGTGCATGATGTTAAAACCATTATTGGTCACTGTAATTTTTGAAATCTTTATTACATATGTAAATTTTTTTATGAATCTGTGTTATGATAAAAGTATACAATATAAAATTATAAATTAAGAACAAGTGATTCCCCCCTCATTTGGAGACCAATGGCCTACTGTATTTCCATATGAACTCCCACTGTAATCTATATTAGATCTGATAGCCAATTTGTATCTAAACCAACATTAATACTAAAGAATCTATATGTTTTAATAGTTAACTTTTCTAATTGTGTTAAAAACATCATCTAAAGAAAATTAAAATTAATATGCAAACAACTATTTTACTTGTTAGTGTTGTCTGGAACAACGAGCAATTCCATCTCTATTATACTATTTTAACATTTTTTCTGTGTACTATTTAAACATTTTGTGTGTGTACTGTTTAAACATTTTTTTGTGTGTATTTTAGTGGATACATTTATGGTATTAATGTGATTTTTAATGGATATATTGTGTTAATTTTTTAATAACTAGGCCTATTTATTTATTTATGTCTATGAAATCCATTGTCTGAGAAACGTAAAATAATGGTCGTTTTGTGACATTGATTATATCTCATCTTGATCAACTCAAAGCTTTAAAATCTTGTTTTTAAAAAAAAATATTTTACTCTATTATTTAATATCAACAGTTCCCATGGAAATCTGATTTACAGTTTCTTTTGTATTGCCTTCACTATTAAATACAAATAGTTAAAATATTTTAGCAATACCAAGTTATAACCCTGTTGTCATGAACAGTTAGTAATGATTGGGGAGTTAAAATATAATGAATAATAAAGAACATTGCTAGACCATGTTAATGAGATCACTCATGGGAAATCCACAGAGCTGCAGCTGTTCTTTGATGTATTTGTGTCTCAGCCTATGATGTTATTTGTTAACGAGACTTGTCTAATTATTGTTTACTATTGGTTATTCATTGTTTTTATTTAACAATCCCTAATTTTTTTTAAAAATGATAATTTTGGAACTGAAATATTGTTTGTAATATTTGTTGTTTTAATTATTTCTTTACAAAACTTATTTGTTTGATATTTTTATAATTTTACAAATAAACAACTTAAAATTGTTTGTGTCTCTGGTTTTATTTGTATAATTGGAGAACTTACAGGTCCATTTTATAAACCTTATGTGACAAAGATTATCAACTACAACGCTACTAACGATTGGAATGGTTTTTTTTATTTCTGACACATTTTCATAAATTCAATAACAAAATATGTGTAACATGGAATGGTTCATAAGCAGAAATCAATTTTCATATAATGCTGCCATTTTATATTTTAAACAAATTTCTAAGAATCAAGAGTCACAGAGCAACAATACAGCAAGAAAATAATAATTGCACATTTTTTAAAAAATGGCACTACACTACTTATTTACATTTAATTATCAGTCTAGTCCAACAGCAATTAAACACGGTTGTTACATTTTTAAAAAAAAATCAATTTTTCTACAAACTTGTTTATAAAACAAAATAAAAAATGTACAGCACTATCTTGCATAAATAAAATTGTATAAAAAAGTAAATATAAAATAATTTTTAAATAAAAAATTGGATTTCAAATTCCATTACCCTTGTCAAAGAAGTATTATTTTTAAATTTACTCTTTATAATTAACATTACAAAAATGATTCTAACAAGTATTTTACCACTGAGTTGTAAATCCAATATCTGGACTCGATTTCACAAAATTACAAAATTTTATAATGGAAGACAAAAAAATCTACACTGAGTTTACAAATACTGGACAAATAAGCAAGTAAAACAAACGACCAAATCAATGGTCACTAACTTCAATAATCTAATTGCAGTTTATAGATAAAAATTTGCATAACTACTAAAACATAATACATACATAAATATTGGAATGCATGATAAAGCAGGTATCAAAAGATTGTATAAACATGTGTAAAGTTTTTAAAATTGTATAGTACATAGAGATTCTGTACATAAAATGTAGGGGTGTGGATTGGTGGTCAGCAGTTTCAGATGTTAAAACAGCAGTATAAAATCCCAACATGTTATTTCCAGACATAGATCTTTTAAATTTTATCATTTTTTTAACAAACGCACTTGATTTTACATAATAAATAACCTCTAAGTCCATAATAAAAAAAAACCTTGTCATGAATTTTAGACCTTCACTTTTGAACCTATCAAAATGGAACTGTAAAATATTTTGTGTTGTAAGGAAACCTTTATAACAATTTTACTGAAAATTAGGTCAAATATAAATCTATTTGAAGCTTAACTGATAGATCAAACTGAACACATATGGATTTAAGCTACAAGGGTAAGATTTTAAAAAAAAAGAAATAAAAGAGAGAATTTTATTTAGCTTATAACATTTTTGTACAAACAACACACTGTGAACCTTTGGAGAAAAGTTGGTTTTAAATCTGAGTTCTTACAAATTTGTTCCAATAAAATATAAATATAATTAAATTTATTTGATCATTCAATTGAACCAGCAAGCTATTCCAACAACCTCAGATCACATGATCTAATAGGAAAACAACTTAAATGAACATTACTAATCAGGTTAAAAATACTTTGACTCATTCATGCTCTGATTTAAATAGCCAACATTCACACTTACATAAATACAATTTATCACACAGTAGTTCTGGTTTGTTTACACCATGTTGACCTTTTGTATCCTCTCAATTAAAAGATTGACATTGTTGTTTGTTTTTAGAACAGTCACTGCTTGATTGTGCTCAATGGTTTGGAAGTCAACTTTATTTACCTGTGATAATATAAATAGATGAAATGAGAAAATATTTGGTAACAAACATTTTTAAAATTATAAGATGAACATTATATTTATCATGATTTGAAAACAAAGCAAAAATTTGATAACTACATTTAAATCCTGTTACAATGCCTCAGTTTAAGCTTAAGCAAAATACAGGTATAAGGTTCAAAGGTTTTATATTTAGGCTTTTCTTTGGTTGAACTTGGTGTTACATAAAAATTACCTCTAAAATTTTGTCTCCTGGTCGAAGTAATTTTGAAGCTGGACCTTCAGGAATAACTTTTGTCACAAATATTCCCTGTTGGGAGAGTAAACATATATTTTATTTATAAAGATCATGCATTATTTTTACATATATATGTGACATATATTTACATGTATATAGTGTTTAAAAAACAATGGAACCTACTATATCATTAGGCCTGTATGGGTTGCCATGGGAACCAATGCCACCTGCTATAGAAAAGCCTAGGCCAGGATTTTTCTTGATTGTAATTCGAAACTGAAATAATAAACAAGACTTACAGTCAAAATCCCAATTTTAGAATACTCTATGCTTTTGTATTTTCCCAGAGCTCTAAAAGATTTGAACCAGAATAAAAATAGAAATAACATCATACTGACTAAGTAGTTAAAACAGTTTTTAAAATTAATTGTGGGAAAATCCATTTTGATTGTTATTGGTAAGTAAGTAAAACAAGGTTCTCTTTTTGAACCTGATGGCCCATGGGGAAAATGATGGATTGTGGTCAGCACTGTGCCCAGCTACTTAGATACCCAAAGCTGGGTGGACTCAAGAACGTTCTACTGACTTGAAATGGATTCGAACTCGAGACTTTAAGGTTAGTGTTCTAGGATTCTACCGCTAGGCTATGCTGTCCCACTTGATTGTTATGGGTATAAAATTAATTTGGGATGACAACTTCATTCCAAAGTATTTTAGAGGCTTAAATTCCAAGTACAGCAAGCAGAACCTATAGGCCTCCTCAAGCAAGACAGCTTTCCTCAAGGTTACTCTATTTTCAAAAAGATCACCTGTGTCAGTTATTAGCCAGCTAGTATTGTGACTGTGTTGTCCTACATCATGTAACACAGAGACAAATCTATCAAGTACAAGGCTAAAATGTGACTGATTATCTGGAATACTCACTAATATTTAGAGGTTATTCATTGTATTTTCTCAAAACAATTGGTTTGGATTAAATTATACTAGATCTAACAATTTTAAATAATTCAAAAGTTAAGAAGAATTATAAGGTTAAGGGACAGTACTGTACTCAAACTATACAACTGAGATTAACATTTGAAAAATTATTGCAAAATCATTAATGAAAATGAATACTATGCACATGCAGTTATTTAAAAATGATTTTACACTTACTTGTTCCTTGTGCTCTTGTGTGGTGGAGTCAGGAAATGGTTTGGTAAATTCTTTCACAGGAGTTACATCCCTTGAAGAAACTGCAGGAGTTTTGACAGAAGTGAGTCTTTGAGAGGGCGGGGTTGATGTAGCGGCTGAGCTGTGTGAGCCAGGCCCTGGGTGTGGTGGGAACACGTCACCTTTGCTCTTTGCGTACTCTCCAATACGCTCATACACATGGTGTCCATGTCCGTATCCGCTGTCCGTGGAGCTGGATACTTGTGACGACTGCTCCTGGTTGGGGACTGCGAAATCGTCAAAGTTTGTGTTGTCCAAGGATCCGGAATACGGATCAAATGTTCTGTCTTGTCGTGAATTGGGCCGGGCTGAACCAAATGTGGGGTTGGGTGACTCGCGGGACGATGAATGGTTGTGTATGTCACTACGTGAGTCAGACGAGTCGGACCTGTCCCTCGGCCTGGCACCCAGATGGTAGGCGGCGCCGGTCTGAGACGCTGATCCTATCTGTGAGGAACTGCTGCCCGACCTGCTGGTGTGATTGTCTCTAACGCTGTAGTGACCTTGACTTCTCCTGTCAAGGTCAGCGTAGTCTGAAAAACTAAGTTTCTCCCTGGGCGTGGCAGGAAGTTCAGGGAATGGGTTGCTGCCATGGAAACCACAAGGTGAGGACTGAGATCTGTTGATGTTGGGTGTAGCGCTGGTTGCCGCGGCGCCCAGAGTCATGACTGATGGGATGTTGGATGTGGTGTGAGGGGAGTCAACACGACTAGAAGAGGAGTCACTAGAGAGTCTTTCAGGGCGTGGCCCTAGGGTTCGGGCATCAGATGGTCTTCTGTAGGGTGGTGCTGGGTTGTATGGTGGTGGGGTGCTCACTGCTGGCTTCTGCTGGCCTTGACTAGACTGTGGATACAAAGACATGTTTGACTAGATTGTGGATACAAAGACAGCATTTAAATGTTTGACTAGATTGTGGATACAAAGACAGCATTTAAATGTTTGACTAGATTGTGAATACAAAGACAGCATTTAAATGTTTGACTAGACTGTGGATACAAAGACAGCATTTAAATGTTTGACTAGACTGTGGATACAAAGACAGCATTTAAATGTTTGACTAGACTGTGGATACAAAGACAGCATTTAAATGTTTGACTAGATTGTGGATACAAAGACAGCATTTAATGTTTGACTAGACTGTGGAAACAAAGTCAGCATTTAAATGTTTGTCTAGACTGTGGATACAAAGACAGCATTTAAATGTTTGACTAGACTGTGGATACAAAGACATGTTTGACTAGACTGTGGATACAAAGACATGTTTGACTAGATTGTGGATACAAAGACAGCATTTAAATGTTTGACTAGACTGTGGATACAAAGACAGCATTTAAATGTTTGACTAGATTGTGGATACAAAGACAGCATTTAAATGTTTGACTAGATTGTGGATACAAAGACAGCATTTAAATGTTTGACTAGACTGTGGATACAAAGACAGTATTTAAATGTTTGACTAGATTGTGGATACAAAGACAGCATTTAAATGTTTGACTAGACTGTGGATACAAAGACAGCATTTAAATGTTTGACTAGACTGTGGATACAAAGTCAGCATTTAAATGTTTGACTAGACTGTGGATACAAAGACAGCATTTAAATGTTTGACTAGACTGTGGATACAAAGACATGTTTGACTAGACTGTGGATACAAAGACATGTTTGACTAGATTGTGGATACAAAGACAGCATTTAAATGTTTGACTAGATTGTGGATACAAAGACAGCATTTAAATGTTTGACTAGATTGTGGATACAAAGACAGCATTTAAATGTTTGACTAGACTGTGGATACAAAGACAGCATTTAAATGTTTGACTAGATTGTGGATACAAAGACAGCATTTAAATGTTTGACTAGACTGTGGATACAAAGACATGTTTGACTAGACTGTGGATACAAAGACATGTTTAACTAGATTGTGGATACAAAGACAGCATTTAAATGATTGACTAGATTGTGGATACAAAGACAGCCTTTAAATGTTTGACTAGACTGTGGATACAAAGACAGCATTTAAATGTTTGACTAGACTGTGGATACAAAGACAGCATTTAAATGTTTGACTAGACTGTGGATACAAAGACAGCATTTAAATGTTTGACTAGACTGTGGATACAAAGTCAGCATTTAAATGTTTGACTAGACTGTGGATACAAAGACAGCATTTAAATGTTTGACTAGACTGTGGATACAAAGACAGCATTTAAATGTTTGACTAGACTGTGGATACAAAGAAGCATTTAAATGTTTGACTAGATTGTGGATACAAAGACAGCATTTAAATGTTCGACTAGACTGTGGATACAAAGACAGCATTTAAATGTTTGACTAGACTGTGGATACAAAGACAGCATTTAAATGTTTGACTAGACTGTGGATACAAAGACAGCATTTAAATGTTTGACTAGACTGTGGATACAAAGACATGTTTGACTAGACTGTGGATACAAAGACATGTTTAACTAGATTGTGGATACAAAGACAGCATTTAAATGTTTGACTAGATTGTGGATACAAAGACAGCCTTTAAATGTTTGACTAGACTGTGGATACAAAGACAGCATTTAAATGTTTGACTAGACTGTGGATACAAAGACAGCATTTAAATGTTTGACTAGACTGTGGATACAAAGACAGCATTTAAATGTTTGACTAGACTGTGGATACAAAGTCAGCATTTAAATGTTTGACTAGACTGTGGATACAAAGACAGCATTTAAATGTTTGACTAGACTGTGGATACAAAGACAGCATTTAAATGTTTGACTAGACTGTGGATACAAAGAAGCATTTAAATGTTTGACTAGACTGTGGATACAAAGACAGCATTTAAATGTTTGACTAGACTGTGGATACAAAGACAGCATTTAAATGTTTGACTAGACTGTGGATACAAAGACAGCATTTAAATGTTTGACTAGACTGTGGATACAAAGACAGCATTTAAATGTTTGACTAGACTGTGGATACAAAGACAGCATTTAAATGTTTGACTAGACTGTGGATACAAAGACAGCATTTAAATGTTTGACTAGACTGTGGATACAAAGACAGCATTTAAATGTTTGACTAGACTGTGGATACAAAGACAGCATTTAAATGTTTGACTAGACTGTGGATACAAAGACAGCATTTAAATGTTTGACTAGACTGTGGATACAAAGACAGCATTTAAATGTTTGACTAGACTGTGGATACAAAGACAGCATTTAAATGTTTGACTAGACTGTGGATACAAAGACAGCATTTAAATGTTTGACTAGACTGTGGATACAAAGACAGCATTTAAATGTTTGACTAGACTGTGGATACAAAGACAGCATTTAAATGTTTGACTAGACTGTGGATACAAAGACAGCATTTAAATGTTTGACTAGACTGTGGATACAAAGACAGCATTTAAATGTTTGACTAGACTGTGGATACAAAGACAGCATTTAAATGTTTGACTAGACTGTGGATACAAAGACAGCATTTAAATGTTTGACTAGACTGTGGATACAAAGACAGCATTTAAATGTTTGACTAAACTGTGGATACAAAGACAGCATTTAAATGTTTGACTAGACTGTGGATACAAAGACAGCATTTAAATGTTTGACTAGACTGTGGATACAAAGACAGCATTTAAATGTTTGACTAGACTGTGGATACAAAGACATGTTTGACTAGACTGTGGATACAAAGACATGTTTGACTAGACTGTGGATACAAAGACAGCATTTAAATGTTTGACTAGATTGTGGATACAAAGACAGCATTTAAATGTTTGACTAGACTGTGGATACAAAGACAGCATTTAAATGTTTGACTAGACTGTGGATACAAAGACATGTTTGATTAGATTGTGGATACAAAGACAGCATTTAAATGTTTGACTAGACTGTGGATACAAAGACATGTTTGATTAGATTGTGGATACAAAGACAGCATTTAAATGTTTGACTAGACTGTGGATACAAAGACAGCATTTAAATGTTGGACTAGACTGTGGATAAAAAAAAAGCTGACTTAACTTTTAACAAAAATCATTTGAATTCCTGGTAACAGTATTAATTCATTAAAATCAATCTAAATTTCTAATTTAAAATATTTACATTAAAAAAAAAATTAGTATTTTATTCACCATGGTAAAAATGAAATCTCATTTCTTGCATCAATGAAGTGAATGACTTAATCAAGTAACTCTAAAAAAATAAGATCACAAAACAAAACATACCAGATTTTTTTGAGATCCGCCCCTCTCTTCCACAACTGTGTACAAGTTACTTCCCCTCCTATCCCTGGCGTTTTGATTGGCTACACCATTAGCGAGTTGAACTGGGGCCTGTGTAATCACTGGTGTGCTTTGGTCGATGAAATTGTCTTTGTGAAACACTGGTGGAGAGGGGGAGGCCTGGTGGAGGGAGAGATTGCTTCCCCCTGAATTGTTCAAGTTCGGTTTAGGGGCTACAGCAGGCGGGGGCCCTAACCCTGACTGGCCCTGCGAGGGCGGCCCAGGGCCCATCGGATTCTGAGAGGGCGGCCCAGGGCCCATTGGGTTTTGTAGCTGTGGACCGTTGCTTATCTGTATGGGATACTGTGAACCCAGGGGATTTGTTTGTTGTGGGGTGGCTGTGTAGTAATCCTCCCCAGCAAGTCTTTCATTGGTTCCTCTTATGTTGTCTGCTGGGTAATATTCGTTGCCCGGCAACCGTTTGTAGAACTCTTCATTAGAAGCGGAGCTGTGCGTGTCATTCAAAGCCATGGGGTTATTAGTCCTAGAGAAGTCACTGCCTGCCTGACCGCTCTCTTTTGGATTGCTGGATCTCCTGTACAGTCCATGATGTCCAGATCCACCTCCGTAGTTCCGAGGTTCTGACCGGGACGGGGAATGTGGACGGAAGTTTCTGGATGACTGAGGGGTGGCAGCTGGGGAACTGCTCTGCCCAGAGCCGTGGTGCTTCTGTTGAAAAGCTGCAGCAGCTGCGTTAGCAGTAGGGTACAAGCTGCCGGAGCCGTAGGCCTCCAAGTCACTGGCGTAACCAGCACCGTCTCTCCGCCTGCCGCTGTGGTTGCGGTGGTGATGGTGGTGATGCTGGTTCGGTAACGGTTGTGACCGTACTGATAAAATTTCAGAGTTGGCTCCTCTTGATTCCTCTCCATCTACTCTGAACCTGATTTCTCTGTCGCTGCGATAGCCAGTGTCTGAATCATATTCTCTCATTCTCCGTCCATGTCGTCTGCCCCTTTGGACAATGTGTTTGTAGTAGAGTTCATCATAAGTAGCTGAAGATGGAACCGCCTTTGCTGAAGAGTTCTCTTTAGTCTTTGGTGTAGTGAGGTCTGGAACTGAGCCAGATCTACGAGCCATGCTGTCATCACCAGATTTTCCTGTAAAAATAACAAATTTATAAAATTTAATTTTTCATACAAATATTTCAAGTGCAGTAAAAAAAAATAAGCCATTTATATAGTTTTAACTTCTATAAAATACTTAAATGCCCACAGAAAAAATTGGCCACATTATTGTTTAAAAATCTTACTCCTGCTGTCTCTACCCCTCTCTTCCTTCATAAAGTCTGTTGCATCTCCATCAAAGTTTGGCACTGACAGTCGATGTTGCATCCTTGCCTTATCTTTCATTAGTTTCTCCTTTAATGTAACAAAAAGTTGTTTTAAACTTATGAACAGAATAGATTTATATATTTTTAATAAAAGAACCCTTTAGGTCAACCTTTGTAAACACAAATACCTCTAAAAAAATATTTTAGCCAACCTATGTTGGACTGACTTTATCAAACCTTTACAATTATCATTAAAAGAATCATTTAGCTAACCAATGCTAAACTGACCAACTGACTTTATAAAACCAGTACAATTATCATTAAAAGAATCATTTAGCTATTGAAAGAATCATTTTGAACTGACTTTATCAAACCAGTACAAATATCTTTAAAAGAATCATTTAGCCAAGCAATGCTGAGCTGACCAACTGACCTTATCAAACCTGTACAAGCGGTGAGACTCCTGAAGTTTAGGGGACATGGGTTTTGTGATCCGAGCCTCTCTCACCCTCACATCTGAACTGTCTCTTGCATATCCAAAACCATTCTGTCACAATATAAAATACATGCATCAAAGTTCAAATAGCATTAATGGCTACAAAGAAAAACAAATTAACCACTAAAATCTTTTTCAGCTGGATTGATTTGAGACCCCCCCCATACAATTCCAAACAACTAATTACTTTTGTTAAAGACTTCACTGAGAGTTTTAAAAACATAAGAGGTCATGTGAATCCTGATAAAAATAGTACATCACTCAAATCAGAATTCAGATGATAAAAACACCCTTCACATATCAAAGGTTAAAAAAAATAATACAGCCCATGTAACCACTGACCTCATCTGTGGTTCCAGAAAGTCTATCACCATCCCCGTACCCGGCCGAACCATCGCGGGGACTTTCTCCAACGTTGATCATCTGTCTCATGGCCAAATTTCTGGCATGCCGCACTTTTTCTCTCATTTCTTTTGGGTATGGTGTTGGACATCGAACCAAGGTACCCTAAATAAAAAGTTAAAATTAAGAAACCGGCTTGGTGGTATTGAGATGTTTAGTCATACACAAATAGAAATTTTAGAAATAACTTTTGGTCATTCAAGAATTTCGCAAAGACAAAATATGTATGTGGCCTATAAAATGAGATAAAGAAAAATAATGTTACAATATTTGTCTGGTCATACATGAATCAGGTAAAGACAAGTATCTTAGAAATATTTTTCTGGCCATATTTTTTTTTTATGAATCAGATATAAATAAGTTATGTTGAAAACATTTTCTGACCTCGCCTTCCAGGTCATCAGCGAAATCAAAATGAATTTGTTGTCGTTTGAGCCTCTCCTCATCCCACATGGAGGCGTGAAAACTTTCGTTGTCTCCTGTTGGGTCTCTTTCATCTGGAAATATAGTAGGCACTGTCAGACTGAAGCAAAAACTTTCAGAGGCAACTTTAACATACTGTGTGTTGAATTGATCTTAGAATTTAGCTATGAGACCTCACATAGACAAGGAAAACTTCAAAGTGTGTGTTGAATTGATCTTACCATTTGGCTCTGAGGATCCCTGGGGCAGTAGATAGCAGGTGAGAATCTTTCTTCCAGTCCCTGGCTCGTTTTCAGATTGTAGAGGAATCAATGGACGCGTCTGTGATGGAAAATTAAGAAAACCTTTTGTAAGTTTATTAATTTGATCCTAATGCATAACTGTTTTTAATTACAGATTTACCATTGGTTGATAACCATACCTTTTTATGACTGACAATCAACATTTTAAATAAATGAACTGGAATCATTAAACTTATTCAAATAACAATTCTTGTCTGGTATTGCAACAACAAAATGGCTAGAATTATTCAAGTTGCTAACTAACTTTGTAGTGTGATTCTTAAAAGTGAACTATTTTTGTTATACAGCCGTGATTCCCTAACAGAAAAAACTGACCTGGTTTTCTGTGAGCCACAAGGCCTGAAGTTCCTTTAACTTGATGATGGAGAAGGGCAGGTAGCGGAGACAGTTGTCACTCAGGTTGAGCACACGTAACCGTGGGATACGGCCAATCTCGTCAGGGATGTAGGTCAGCTTGTTGCTGCGCACTGAGAGAACTGTGATGCCACTGCAGCTCCCCATCTGGTTGTGTAATACAATTTAGATGTCATTTAAAACAAGTTTCATGTCATTTAATAGAAGTTAGATGTCATATAATACAAGTTAGATATCATATAATACAAGTTAGATGTCATTTAATACAAGTTTCATGTCATTTAATACAAGTTAGATGTCATATAATACAAGTTACAAATAATAAAAGCTATTTGCTTATTTATTAAATAAGAGTAACAACAGTAAGCTTGGAGGCCTTTTTTCACATTGGCCGTTTTTATATGAATATCATACAATACTATTTAGATATCCTTCATATATTTATTTTATTTTTAAAAAAAGTTTATTTCTAAAGTTAAAAACAGTTGCTCCAAGGTAAGGTACAAACATTCTAAAATATTTAATTATTGCAAATTTTTAAAGGAATAAAATGTATATTTGGAAATTTTGATTCTATTGTGTGTATATATATATTAAACTTTACCTCAGCAGGTAAGAACTGAAGCAGATTTTCATCAGCGTAAAATGTTCGTAAGTTCCTCAATAGGCCAATGCTGGGTGGGAGGTCCTCCAGGTCATTGGCGCTCACATTTAGCTCTGACAGTGAGGAAAGTCTGGAACATATGGTAACATATTACTGTGCTTGTAGTTATTTTACAATTTTTTAAATTACCTTTTATAAAAAATACTAAGAAAAAGAATACTTTTTAATAGATGAGTTGTTTTTTAAATAAAGGATGTATTATTTTACTAAAGGAGCAAAAAATAAAATCAATTATTTATTATTGAAATAAAAAAAAAGCCTCAGACTTACCCTCCAAGTGTTTTAGGAAGCGACGTCAGCTGATTGTCATCAACTTTTAATGTCGTCAGGTGGCTCAAGTTACCTGGAAGATTTGTTTTTAAATTTTTAATTTTTAACTTAACTATAATGGAATTTTAAAGATACATTTTCTCAAGGGAGGATACTATACTATGCACCAACTTACCTATAGACTCTGGTAGACCCATGAGGTTGTTGGTAGTAAGGTGAAGGTCAGCCAAGCCCACACAGCCCTCAATCTCTCCAGGGAGATCCAGAAGCTGATTCTTGCTGGCATCAAGAAACATCAGTTGCTTCAGGTTCCCAATGGTCTGAGATGTAAACAACAACAAAAGCTTTTAAAAAAATTTCTTACCCTTGCATGAAAACAAACTGAATTTAACATATATATAGTTTATATATTTATTTTTAACACAGCTGAATCAGTATCAGACTATTATCTAATCATCTGTCAGCCTAAGGTGCCATTTATTTATTCGCAGATTCAACAGTTCAAAGGTCAACCTACATGTGTTATAGTTGTGATCTGGTTGTTATCACACCACAGCTCAGATAACTTTGTTAGACTCCCAATCACATCCGACTGAAAGAAAAAGTTAAGGTCTATTTTTAAAACATTTTTCTTTACTAGAAGCCAGTAACTTTGAAAAACACAACCAATATCAAATGGAAAAAAAAGATGTTTCACTAAATGTAAAAAATAATATGAATAAATGCAAATTCTTGCCAATGCATGTAAATATAAAATGATGTTTAAAAATGATATTGTACAAAATTGGTAATGAACTAAATGTTGGTCTATAGTATGTAGATAAGATGTGTAATGGTGTGGTTATGTCTGTGGTGTGAATATTTCTTAGGTGTGAGTGTGTCTATGGTGTGAATGTGTCTGGTGTGAATATTTCTTAGGTGTGAGTGTGTCTGGTGTCAATATTTCTTAGGTGTGAGTGTGTCTATGGTGTGAATGTGTCTGGTGTAAGTGTGTCTATGGTGTGAATGTGTCTGGTGTCAATATTTCTTAGGTGTGAGTGCGTCTGGTGTCAATATTTCTTAGGTGTGAGTGTGTCTATGGTGTGAATGTGTCTGGTGTAAGTGTGTCTATGGTGTGAATGTGTCTGGTGTCAATATTTCTTAGGTGTGAGTGTGTCTATGGTGTGAATGTGTCTGGTGTCAATATTTCTTAGGTGTGAGTGCGTCTGATGTCAATATTTCTTAGGTGTGAGTGTGTCTATGGTGTGAATGTGTCTGGTGTAAGTGTGTCTATGGTGTGAATGTGTCTGGTGTCAATATTTCTTAGGTGTGAGTGCATATGGTGTCAATATTTCTTAGGTGTGAGTGTGTCTATGGTGTGAATGTGTCTGGTGTAAGTGTGTCTATGGTGTGAATGTGTCTGGTGTCAATATTTCTTAGGTGTGAGTGTGTCTATGGTGTGAATGTGTCTGGTGTGAGTGTGTCTATGGTGTGAATGTGTCTGGTGTCAATATTTCTTAGGTGTGAGTGTGTCTATGGTGTGAATGTGTCTGGTGTGAGTGTGTCTATGGTGTGAATGTGTCTGGTGTGAGTGTGTCTATGGTGTGAATGTGTCTGGTGTGAATGTATCTATGGTGAATGTGTCTGGCATGATGTAAATGTGAAGTAAATCACTGCAATGTTTGGACTGGTCAGTATACAAGCAACAACACCCACCAGCTCAGTGAACTCATTGTTTCCAATGTCCAGCCTCTCCAATTCCACCAGACGTCCAAATGATTTAGGAAGTGTCTTCAGGTGATTTTCTCGCATCTCCAGAATTCTTAACTTGACCATTCTAAGCACAAATAACACAAGTCAAATTTTGTCTTTAAAATACAAATTTCTAAATATTACCACAAATTATTTCTTTATATTAATAGGCCTATATGTATAAGGGCTCACCCTTAACTGAGGCCTAACTCTCATACATAAGGAAGATTTCATATTTTAGTGACAATTTGCTGTTTCTGTGTGTGACTGGGTGTGTGTGTGGGGAGGGGGGGTGTCCAAGAATTGAGAAAAGACATGAATTATGTGTTGTTTGGATGAATTCTTTTTTGGGGAGGGTGTGGGCAGGGGAGGGGGGGGGGTGCCTGGCTTTGTGGGACAACTGGGACTGAGGGTAAAAATCAACCCCACTCTGCTTTGGTGGGATAGTTACAAATAAAATTAAAATCTAATGGAACAGACAATGTAATGTAAAGAGTAAAGAGTCAAACCTTTGTGTGGGAGTGGGGGTATTGTGTAAACAGTAAAGTCAAAACAGTTTCTTTGAAAAATATGTTCAAGCCTAAATGAAAGTTTAAAAATATATTTTCCCAAGGGAGGAATGGATGCTATGCACATGCTTTTGTGGATGTGGGGGTGTTCTACACACAAAAAAGTCAGATGACACCCCTTAAAGTGTGACCTAAAATCTCACCTGACCTAGTACACGTCCTCACCTTTCACATCCACATCCACTTATTTGGTGTGGATGTGGCCAGATTTTTTCAACTTATTTATCCTATCTTGGTGTGCATGTGGCCAGGATTTTTCAACTTATTTATCCTATCTTGGTGTGGATGTGGCCAGGATTTTTCAACTTATTTATCCTATCTTGGTGTGCATGTGGCCAGGATTTTTCAACTTATTTATCCTATCTTGGTGTGCATGTGGCCAGGATTTTTCAACTTATTTATCCTATCTTGGTGTGCATGTGGCCAGGATTTTTCAACTTATTTATCCTATCTTCGTGTGCATGTGGCCAGGATTTTTCAACTTATTTATCCTATCTTGGTGTGCATGTGGCCAGGATTTTTCAACTTATTTATCCTATCTTCGTGTGCATGTGGCCAGGATTTTTCAACTTATTTATCCTATCTTGGTGTGCATGTGACCAGATTTTTTCAACTTATTTATCCTATCTTGGTGTGCATGTGGCTAGTTGTTTTTTTTCAACTTATTTATCCTATCTTGGTGTGCATGTGGCAGGTTTTTTCAACTTATTTATCCTATCTTGGTGTGCATGTGACCAGATTTTTTCAACTTATTTATCCTATCTTGGTGTGCATGTGACCAGATTTTTTCAACTTATTTATCCTATCTTGGTGTGCATGTGACCAGATTTTTTCAACTTATTTATCCTATCTTGGTGTGCATGTGACCAGATTTTTTCAACTTATTTATCCTATCTTGGTGTGCATGTGGCCAGGATTTTTCAACTTATTTATCCTATCGTGGTGTGCATGTGGCAGGTTTTTTTTTTTTACTAATGTACCATTTAAATTAATTTTGAACTGAAAATGCTAACAAATCATTAGAGGCAGGTGATGTGGTGACACTGACCTGCCAAAGCTCCCAGGTAGGTAATCAAGGAAGGTGTCATTCAGGTTCAGGTGGGTTAAGTTGGCCAGTTGTGTAAAGCCCTCTGGGAGCCTGGGGGAATAAAGGGGAACAAATGTTACGTACATGATGATAGAAAAGTTACGTAAGTGTTACATTGAAAGTACAGAAGCAGAAGATGGAAAAGTTACACTGAAAACCATATTGTATTTTCACAATGATAGCAGTTAAAAACAAATCAATCGAAGTTAAAACAATATTCTCCATGCATGTCAATACCCATTCTCTATCTCAGTAACTAGACTGCTCTTGTGAACTAAACTATTGTTTTTTAATCAATTATTTCTTTCTTTTACCAAAGTAACCCCATAAGGCTATCTTAAGAGTCTTTCAAGTGATTTAGACAAGTGTAAGGCATGATTATATATAAACTTTGTGAAAAATGCCTTCACTAACTTCTTACAAAGACCCACTTCTATAGGATACTACACTGGGGGTGATATTTTTATTAATAAAATGTTGCATAAAAAACAAACAGTAAAACTTAAAGTGGAAATTTATTTATTTTAATCTCTTATATAGACCTAGTGATGGGAAGGAACTCTGTCAAACACATTTTTGATGGGAGAGAACTCTTTTAATTTGCTTGGAATTAATATAATCAAGAAACTAATTTTGTTTGACTAGCCAAGAACTCCTTCAACTGTGTATATGGTATAGGGTATTTGAAAAGCTTGAATAAATTTAAAAAACTGAATAATTAAATCAACCGAAAAAATAAACACTTTGAAAAATTCAATAAGTTAACACAATGAACTAATTAAAAACATTATCTGAAAATATGATATTGGTTAACCAGAACAACTACTGACAAGTTGGAAAAGGGTCACCTAAAAGATTTATTTTAAAACAGCGGATATTTTCAGGAACATGTAAAATTATCTGAGACCCCGCTTACTTGTTTCTTTAATGAATTTAATTTAATGTCCAAAACATTCGTAACTTGACCAGGGTGTCTAACGATGGACACGCCAAAAGTAGGATATAATTATAATATAAGATAACCGGTTACATAATTACACACAATATTTTTTTAAAGCCAATAAACATAACCAGACATTACAGAAAGAATTTAGATCTAGATTGTCTAGATGCTCCATCAAAAGATCGGGTAATTTCTCCAGGCCCATTTTCAAAACCGTCTCAGAAAAATAAAAATAATTGCCAAATTTTATGGAGCCTGACCAGCGCGCCCTACATAAATCTCATTGCACACCGATTAACAGTTTAACGTGTCTATTCGGGGGAAAGAGTAAAGTTGTAGATCTATACACAAGCAGCGAAAAACGTTTGAAAGAAGACATTCTCAAGAGGGTACAGGGCAGCGGTGTGCTAAAACCAGAAGTAGTAGAGTCGAGTCTATTTTTAGCTAGCGGGTCTCTTCCAGCGGACCCGAGGGAAACACGATCACGTGACACGGGCCATAAAGTTAATGTAGCGTGGAGAGTTATCTCCCTGTCCATCGGCACGCCGGCTACCGATAATGGGGGATCGGCGTTTACCTAGTGTACCTAGGGTTTTAGCACCTCTATTGTAGGACTAACACGTTCTCTACGTCCGCCATTATCTCTCGCTGACGTACTGGTCTGGTACACGGAGCAGGTCTAACGTTTGTCCGTATCGTTTTCATTTTAGACATCCTCGTGTAGTGGGTTCAGAAGAATTTGAGGGTTTACTTAAAAACATGGCTGGGACACTTTGGGGTTAGGAACTTATACGTCCGAAGGTTACGAGTCGTAGGTCTAACGAGGTGTGGGGCTTAGGTCCAATAATGTATGGGGCTTAGGTCCAATAAGGTATGGGGCTTAGGTCCAATAATGTATGGGGCTTAGGTCCAATAATGTATGGGGCTTAGGTCCAATAATGTATGGGGCTTAGGTCCAATAAGGTACGGGGCTTAGGTCCAATAAGGTATGGGGCTTAGGTCCAATAATGTATGGGGCTTAGGTCCAATAATGTATGGGGCTTAGGTCCAATAAGGTATGGGGCTTAGGTCCAATAAGGTATGGAGCTTAGGTCCAATAAGGTATGGGGCTTAGGTCCAATAAGGTATGGAGCTTAGGTCCAATAAGTTATAAGGCTTAGGTTCAATAAGGTATGGAGCTTAGGTCCAATAAGGTATGGGGCTTAGGTCCAATAAGGTATGGGGCTTAGGTCCAATAAGGTATGGGGCTTAGGTAAAATAAGGTATGGGGCTTAGGTAAAATAAGGTATGGAGCTTAGGTCCAATAAGGTATGGGGCTTAGGTCCAATAAGGTATGGGGCTTAGGTCCAATAAGGTATGGGGCTTAGGTCCAATAAGGTATGGGGCTTAGGTCCAATAAGGTATGGGGCTTAGGTCCAATAAGGTACGGGGCTTAGGTCCAATAAGGTATGGGGCTTAGGTCCAATAAGGTATGGGGCTTAGGTCCAATAAGGTATGGGGCTTAGGTCCAATAAGGTATGGGGCTTAGGTCCAATAAGGTATGGGGCTTAGGTCCAATAAGGTATGGGGCTTAGGTCCAATAAGGTATGGGGCGTAGGTCCAATAAGGTATGGGGCTTAGGTCCAATAAGATATGGGGCTTAGGTCCAATAAGGTATGGGGCTTAGGTCCAATAAGGTATGGGGCTTAGGTCCAATAAGGTATGGGGCTTAGGTCCAATAAGGTATGGGGCTTAGGTTCAATAAGGTATGGGGCTTAGGTCCAATAAGGTATGGGGCTTAGGTCCAATAAGGTATGGGGCTTAGGTCCAATAAGGTATGGGGCTTAGGTCCAATAAGGTATGGGGCTTAGGTCCAATAAGGTATGGGGCTTAGGTCCAATAAGGTATGGGGCTTAGGTCCAATAAGGTATGGAGCTTAGGTCCAATAATGTATGGGGCTTAGGTCCAATAATGTATGGGGCTTAGGTCCAATAAGGTATGGAGCTTAGGTCCAATAAGGTATGGGGCTTAGGTCCAATAAGGTATGGGGCTTAAGTCCAATAAGGTATGGGGCTTAAGTCCAATAAGGTATGGGGCTTAGGTCCAATAAGGTATGGGGCTTAGGTCCAATAAGGTATGGGGCTTAGGTCCAATAAGGTATGGGGCTTAGGTCCAATAAGGTATGGGGCTTAGGTTCAATAAGGTAAGGGGCTTAGGTCCAATAAGGTATGGGGCTTAGGTCCAATAAGGTATGGGGCTTAGGTTCAATAAGGTATGGGGCTTAGGTCCAATAAGGTATGGGGCTTAGGTCCAATAAGGTATTGGGCTTAGGTCCAATAAGGTATGGGGCTTAGGTTCAATAAGGTATGGGGCTTAGGTCCAATAAGGTATGGGGCATAAGTCTAATAAGGTATTGGGCTTAGGTCCAATTACGTAGGGGGCTTAGGCCTTCGGGTTCTCATTTAACGACTTCTAAGAACAGAGTAAACAGTCAATGGTTGCATCCCTTAGTTAATTTGAATTCTTACATGGGAAGTAACTCAATGTTTCAGGTCTTAGGTCAACAATGATATGGATTTGTTCCAGAAATGCTTGAGTTCCGGTAGTATAAAGGGAGTGAAAAAACTGATTCTTAACAAACTTTTCGTAATAATGTTACCCCTGACGCTTGGCAAAAATATCGCAACAAAATGTATTGGAAACAATATTCATTAAACAAACCGAATTTAAAAAAAAAAAAAAAAGCCAAAACTGATTCTGTACAGTCTATGGAACCACGAGTAAGTGCCTCAGGTCTGACTTGAGCACGCTTGGATGCTCCCATGAACCAGGTCCTCCCCCGGGCCCCCATTCACTCTCCCCACGACTTTCCCCACACAACGCCCTCATGTTGTCACAAGCATTTGATGCGCTGGCCCGTACCCCCGCAGGGGTCCTGCAACCAACCCCTTTACCAACTCATTGCGTGCTTCATTTATTTTACATTCATTGATTCCATTCAATCGTTTTCTTTCTCCTTTAGAAAGCGCAGCGGCGACTTTTCAGCGTCCACATTTTAATGTGCAATAATTTTAGTCGAGATTTTTAAAACGGCATTAAACATTCTTTGTATATGCGGGGTATAATGAGACGTCAGTTTTACGTGGGGTTTAATGAGACGCCAGTTTTACGTGGGGTATAGTGAGACGTCAGTTTTACGTGGGGTATACTGAGACGTCAGCATTACGTGGGGTATACTGAGACGTCAGCATTACGTGGGGTATGAGACGTCAATATTACGCGGGGTATATTGAGACGTCAGAATTGAGTGGAATATAATGAGACGTCACTATTGCGTAGGATATGAGACGTCAGAATTGAATGGGATATAATGAGACGTCACTATTACGTAGGGTGTATGAAATGTCATTAATTTATTAATTTGAGTTTAATTGATATTTTAAGAGCAAAATTGACAAATCCCGACACGCGGGGGTGGGGGGTGGGGGGGGGGGTGGGTAGGCGTGAAACAATGACATTAACTATAGAGGAAACAATGTTACATCAAGCTGTATAAATAACCGACTATAGATAAACAACGTTACTAATATTTGTGCAAAGTTTAGACCTATCAAAAGGGGGAAGGGAGGTGACACCAAAGTTCACCTCTAGGTGCCGCATTGGGTGACACCCGACCTAGCAACGCCACTGCTTGCACGACATTCACCCTACATTTCGCCCCCCCCTTTATAGGGAGCTAGATAGGTATATGGATTATGTGTATTATAAATATTAGAACGGGGTAATTGTCCGGGGGTAGGAAAATGATCGGGGGATGACCGGGGGAGGGGGTAATGTCCTTCAACCTAACCCTAATGCTAACACGAGTCCGTTTCGGATGACAATCCTGTGACACAGTGAGGTTCTCTAGCAAGTTGACCACTGCTCACCTCAAAGATTGCCCACCTGTGTAATACTGTTAAAATCTACCGTTATTAACCCCGCTCCACCCCCACCGTATTGTGATACTCGGGTTCTTTAACAAGCTGAACACTGCTCATCTAAAAGATTGCCCACTTGGGTAATACTGTTAATAATAATCATTTAAAAAGTTTAAAAAAACCCACGTTTTCTGATTGAACTAAAAAGTAGAAAATAAAAAGTTATATTACTATTGATTAGATAATACTATTGACTTTTATTAGGGAGCTTGTAGAGAGTCAACAGTATTAGAAACTGTAAGAAAATCACGGCGCCCCACGTTTTTGATCGCTTATAGTAGAGTGATCGCTTGCATTATTGTGATGTATAGCATTTATTTTCTACTTTTTAGTTCAATCAGAAAACGTGGGTTTTTAAAAACTTTTTAAATGATTATTATTTTCTACTTTTTAGTCTTTGTCTGTTTGTTTGCATTAAAATCTTGCTATCGATTTTATCTTTTCACTTTTTTTGGGTAAACGAAGACAACTCGTAAAAAGACAACTCGTAAAAAGACAACTCGTAAAAAGACAACTCGTAAAAAACACGTTGTGTGAATACGTTACTGACTAGAACACATAGATTTGAACCCGTGTCGAGTGGGATAGCAATCGTGTGCCCAACCACTCGACCATATCGTCTCCCCCATACTGGCCACCAGTTGTTACGGTTGTTTGTACACAAATTACAGTTACTGGGTTATGTCCCTTTTTCCCCACGTTTTTACTACAAAGAGCCGACCCGCGGCGTATCATACGCCGCTATTTAGTTGATTTATTTTCTACTTTTCAGTAATTCATAATTTGTGAATTCGACAGTACCAATGCTGCCACTGAAAATATTTGCTTTAAAACACTAACCCCCCTCCTTTCCCCTAACCCCGACCCTACACCCCCCCCCCCGTGAAAGCAGCCTCCTCTTAGTTACCTCCTGTAAGTTTAAAGTCGGTTCAAACTAAATTATCTGCCCCTAATAGCCGTCACTAAAACTGGCTGTACGGTTTGTAAACATTAACGTGACCACAGCTCAGCAGACCATGTGGGGGTGGGGTAGGGTGGTTAGTGATGTGATAGTGATAGAGAGAAAGAGAGGGGACTGTAAGGAGGCGCTTGCAGCTTGTTTTCTAATGGCTCGCAGAGGAGAATTATATATATAGATTATATAGCGGTCTAAAATGCTCAATAAAATGTTTCCATGGATCAATTTAGTAATAATAACAATTGAATATTCTAATGTCATCCAAAACAAAGCTTCCCTGAAAATTTCAGCGCGCTAGCTAACTGGGAAGTGCCAGAAATTTCGATCGCAAGATTTGATTGGAAAGACAAACAAACAGAGACGAAAGCAAGTTAAAGAAAACATGGGAAAAATCTACCGTTATTAACCCCGCCCGCCCCCACCCCCAGTGTATTGTGACACGTGACACATTCTTACAACACCACACCAAATACTCCGGCAGTGCGAACAACTAAAACGCGAGAAATCACGAGAAAATGTTTTGATCAATTGATAAAGTAAAGTCGTCTTCCCCCCCCCCCCCCCCAACTCAGGTGTAAATGTAACTTGACACGCCACAGTTTGCCGCCTACAGTGCGCATGGCAGAACGGAAGTTCTAAGGTTCCATTTTAGAAAGGTCGTTGAGCGATAAGCGTCACCCAACGACCCGTCATCCGCGCCCCCACCAAAAGTTCAGCTAAATTAAGCCTTCATTAGATCCTTTCTGCAATGTTCTAGTTTTTTCAATTCGCCGATATTTGGCCGAAATGTGAACATCTTCAGCGATCAATTTATTGACATTTTCGCACGTTGATACAACCCCGTGTAATCGAATAATGAAATGATTACAGTAATTTAACAGTTGCATTATAATTCCTAGACGTGTGTTCAATGCGTGTTGTGATGGGTCATGTTACGGTAAAGTTTAAAAAAAGAAACACTTAACAATAGTAATGCATTTTTTTTTAAACAAACAAAATAACAGTGTAATCGATTGAGCTTAACTATACGTGAAGGAATAGCCGACACAATAATAGGCTGTTTTTGCACTAAGGGTAGGATTGTGGGTAGGATTTGAACATCGTAATCCACGATTGGAAAAACTTCTAATGGTGAAGTGGTTGAACAAAGATCACCTTCAAGACTGGCTGAGGTACAAACGACATTAAAAGAACCGAATTTAATGGGATAAACTAGCTTTAAATGGGGCTTTTTTTTAAATTAAAAAAGGATGTTTCATGGAACTCTCCGCCGAGGAACGGAACAATCATACAGGGTTTATCAGTGGATATCAAACTTAAGAATACGCAGATATTCCGACAGGGGCTGGAAAATAGGGAACTAATAGTTTAATGCTTTAAAATTTTTCTATCTTGTTCGTTTTTAAACGTAATTTTTATGGGCCGATCTGTTCATTATTGAATCTATGCAAACATTAATCCCCAGGCTTGGTTTCATTCAGCAAAACTTTGAAAAATGCGTAGCCCACTTGTGTTATTAAATTATGTTTTTTTTTATAATGCGGTTTAAGGCTAGACAGGATTTTACCGAATCTCTGTAAGTGAACAACGACGATGTTGAGGATAATCTATATATATTCCCACAATTATTGTTAAAACAAAGTGTTTTTATTTTGACTTACTTTCCGAGTGGGTTGACACTAGCATCGATAGATCGAAGATATTTGCAGGCCTTGATGTTTTCTGGAACATCAATGATACCTGCGGAGGGAATAAATGAACGTAAACAATACATGAACATGTAGCCTGTATTTGTAAACAATACATGCACATGTAGGCCTTTAATTGTTAACAGTACATGTATATGTGTATACGTTAACAATCCAATATATAAATGTATATAGGTTAGCAATAGATACATATCTATATATAGTACCATAATATAACACAAAAAAAGTAATTGTTAAACAAAATTGTGTTGTGGCTTGTGTAAGAGACAGGAGAAGGGGGGAGGGGGAGGTCCTACAAATGTTATATTATCTGAGACGTTGGTCTGTGAATATATATATATATAGCTGTATGTGTTAGATGGGAAGACGTGGCCGGGCAGTAGAGCGCACGACTGCCAACCCGAATGTCTTGAATCTGTGGGAAGTTTCTGAGTCCACCTAGCTCTGATGGGTACCTGGCTCGTGTTAGGGAAAGTACAGGTATCGGATCATATAAAGGACCACATTATTTCAGATGCCGCGGTCACAGAAACAGGTGAACTCTACTTCATCTGCCACGTTGATATGCAGGTTCGAAAGGGCCAACTCTTACTATACTTTACACGAGGTACGGGGTGGGTAAAATTTTGAATATTTGGGATTTTTTTTCTCGTCAGGTGCTAAATCTCAAAAGGTGGGGTATGTAATGTTAAACCCCGCTCCACACAAAGAACACCTGATACTGTGGGCTATCATCTAATTACCCCAAGCAAATAGTTATCCTACGCCAGGACGCTAAATGTGGGTAACCAACCACACTATTTAGGATGGCGTGTGGGTAATCAACCACGCCATTCACGCTGAGAAACGTGATACGTTCCCTTATAACCAGCCTTAGTAAGAAAAACAAATTAGCCAGGAAATGATGTTTGTAAATTCCTCTAAGTAGATAATTAAAATATATTCGACGGATGGCTGGGTCCTACGTGTTCCTAGAGCCCAAGTGATTCAAGTCGCGTCTATTTATCTCAGCCACTGAAATAGTTGTGATAGCTCAACAAGGCTCAAGTGCATCTTCGTCTCGTACTTGTATAATAAAAATATTTTCAAGGCCCGTAACTCTAACCAAAGCTTCCCAGAGTTCCCTAGCAACAATAACAAACTTCATTACGCCTCCCTTAACAACAGCTATTTTTAAAATTAGATTCTAACCTTAAGGGATAAGAAATAAAATTCATGATATACGGCAGATGTAGTTTTTTTTAAAAAGACAACATTACTTTTTAACACGCACGGAAATTATTTGATTAAAATGCAGTAAGAAACTAATTATATATGCCTAATTATTTCACAGCATACACACGAAGCAAGTGAACGATTCCCGTGACGTCATTTCGGTCTTTTCTAAATAAGTTGATAAAGCCCCCGCCCCTCCCCTGAGAGCTATTACGTGTTACATCCCCTGATGTGTATTCACGCGTGAAACTCACCTAATTGCCAACTGGCTGGGACTTTTTTTTTTTGAGCCCCAAACACCGCCTCACGTGCGCACATACAAAAACTAATAATAAAACTCAGCGCGTGACTCGCACAATAGAATCGATCCGCTATTAAAAGCAATCGGTATTGGTAACCAAATACGGCACGATTACCTGTATGAACTTTTAAGTGGGGTTCAGAGAGAAATGTTTACTTCCATGTTTGTGCAGGTTGTGTGTACCGAACACAGACACACCCCGACACACCCCAGAATAACTGACTGACACCACAAACCTGACTCATTGTAACCGAGATATAACAGACACACTGTGACACACCATGACACATAACCTGACAACATACACACAACCCCCACAAAGATGCACTGACTCCACAAAGACACTGACTGTCACAAAGACACCACAATGATCCAGTGAGCCCACAAAGACACCGACACCACAAAGACACACAACCACCAAATACACTAAAACCGAAAAGACACATTGACCCCCACTAAGACATACCGACCACCACAAAGACACACCGACCCCCACAAAGACACACTTACCCCCCACAAAGACACCGACCCCCACAAAGACACACCAAACCCACACAGACACACCGACCCCCAAAAGACATACTGACCCCCCACAAAGACACCGATCCCCACAAAGACACACCGATCCCCACAAAGACACACAACCCCACAAAGAGACACTGACCCTCCACAAAGACACACCTACCCCCACAAAGACACACCTACCCCCACAAAGACACACCGACCACCACAAAGACACACCGACCCCCAAAAGACATACTGACCCCCCACAAAGACACCGATCCCCACAAAGACACACCGATCCCCACAAAGACACACAACCCCACAAAGAGACACTGACCCTCCACAAAGACACACCTACCCCCACAAAGACACACCTACCACCACAAAGACACACCTACCACCACAAAGACACACCTACCACCACAAAGACACACCTACCCCCACAAAGACACACCGACCACCACAAAGACACACCTACCACCACAAAGACACACCTACCCCCACAAAGACACACCGACCACTACAAAGACACACCTACCACCACAAAGACACACCTACCCCCACAAAGACACACCGACCACCACAAAGACACACCTACCACCACAAAGACACACCTACCCCCACAAAGACACACCGACCCCCACAAAGACACACCGACCCCCACAAAGACACACCGACCACCACAAAGACACACCTACCACCACAAAGACACACCTACCCCCACAAAGACACACCGACCACCACAAAGACACACCTACCCCCACAAAGACAATGAACCCACAAAGACACACTGACCATTTTTACTAAAGTCCAGCTCCTCTAGGTTGGCCAGGCTAGCGATGGCAGGAGGGATGCTGGTGATCTCGTTGTCACTGATGGTCAGCTTGCGGAGTCCGTGGCAATAGAACAGTTCCTGGCAACATAGGCATCAAGATAACGTCAGTAAATACACACACATACACACACAAAATAAATAAAAATAACAAACCATCGGGAAAAACTAATTTTTATCATAATTCTCATTGTCAGTTAACAGAGTAAAAACAACAAACAAACGGCTAAAATAAGAAAACTAGTTCAAACAACAAAAGACCTATAAAAACAACATAACGTCAGTTTATGCAACATAATGTCAGGTAAAACAAAAAGTCAATAAAAAAACAATGTAGAATCTAGTTAAAAACAAAATTATCTATTTAAACCAAAAAAAAACAACAGTTTTTAAAGGCTTTATTATAATCCACTGATTTAATGAACCATTTCACAGCTCATTGAACACCGCTTTGATGATCGTTGTCTGATGGTTATGTGATGGTTTAACGTAATTAACTCCCCTGAACAGTGCCAGCTATACAAAAATACAACATCAAAGACGGACGGACACCAAAACATAACAATTAAAAAGTTTAAAAAGAAAACTGAAATATATCACTGAACACTTCAAGACACCTACTAGAGTAAGGGGGGGAGCTACCGCACCAGTTGACACCCCACCAAGTAACGCCACTGGTTAATAATCATACGAATATCTAAGTCGGGGTATTTAATCCGCACAGAACATTCGATTTTGAAAAAAAAAAAACAATTTAATACAGTGCTAAGACAATGGGTTAGTACAATATAACGAGCCCACCAAGTAAAGAAGAAATATACGGGGATTCCCAGCCTGGAATGCAAGGCTACCTCGCATGGTGCAGTGGATTTAGCTAGGAGCTTTCTATAAACTACACTGAGATCCGGGAATTAAAGAACATTGGTTAACACGTCAAGTGATGTCAGTCACGTGACGTTCTATTTACAAAGAGAGTCCCAAAGGGCGGTGGAGCGATTAATTCAAGCCTTAGTAAAATAAATAAAAACACGGCTGATTATTGTATGCAGTGCAAGATAACAGCTTTATCAGCAAATGTAATTATGTTATGTAAGACAGCTGTTATCACTTTAGAAAAACCAGTAATTATTTAGATAACCTTGCAGGCCGATAAGAAAAATATATCTCCCCCAACATGTAACATGTTGCCACTGTAAGGCTGTTTCAAGTGGTGGCCTATAATGAAGACCTATTAGGCTTGGGTTCAAATCTAATTTCCGCTAGATTGGTAAGGCTTTTGTCTAAGTACTGTAGTACGTTTATATGTATGGTCATACGTTTAGAAGTACTAAGTACGGTAGCCTTTTTTTTATAACAAGTAAGCACTGTATCACGTTTATAACTAGTAAGCACAGCAGTACGTTTATGACCACTAAGTACGGTATTACGTTTTTAAGTACTAAGCGCGGCAGCACGTTTTTTTTGTACTAAGTACGATCTCACGTTGGAAGGAGAACTAGGCTGAGTTACGTAGATCAGAGGCGTAGCGAGGGGGGGCGGGACACATGTCCCCGGGCGCCGACCCTTAGGGGCGCCAAAATGGGTTGGAAAATAAATTGAAAGGTTGAAGGAGGGGGGGGGGGTGCAAATCGAAATCTTGAGGGGGGTTTGTCCCCGGGCGCCGGGAAGGGTCGCTACGCCTCTGACGTAGATCAGTGCAACACTATTTTTTCTCATTTAAAAAACCTAAAACAATCGGTACCTTCTATCCACTGATTGCTAGAACCTTTAACAGAAGTTTTTTTTTTTTTTTTTATCTCAGCTAACCATAATGTTAGAGCCTTTAACAGAACATATGTCCCCAGCTAAGGATAATGTTAGAACCTTTAACCGAAGATATCTGTCCCCAGCCAACCATAATGTTAGAACCTTTGAGAGTCTTTATATGTCTAGACTTGAGATTACATCGGGAGGTGGGGAGGGCAGCCCTATGAGCTAGCTGGTTTCTGGTAATTGCAGGGACCCATCACGTGGCTTGAGTTTCACGAATAAAATGGGGCACAGTCGGCTTGCTACACAATCAAGTTTTTTTTGTAACTCGCGTTTTCCAATGTAAAATAAAGGCGTGCTTTATTTAGAACACTCCGCCCCACCCCCCTTCCCAGAATTAAGTTATATTCAAATTTTTATGCGGCCCCGCAGTTATAAATAGCTTTTAATTACTCTTAATGCCTATACAATTCATAATCAATATTACATTAACGACTAACGTTTCCTACATTTGATAAAAAAAAATGGAGCGGATAATATCGAAGAACAATGTAAACAGTTTTTAAGTAACAGTCGAATCAAACAGGGTGGTCGCTTAACGGGATTGGTTTACTCTGGTCAAACGTTGCAACACAATGAAATCTGACGACAAAATCACCGAATCAGACAAAACAAAACCTCAACCTACCCTAAGTTACAACCAAGACCGTCCCTGACTAAGCAAGATAAAATCTACCCTGGGAAGGTCTCAAATCTGACTAAACAAGACCTACCCTGGGAAGGTCCCTAATTTGACTACACAAGATCTACCCTGAGAAGGTCCCTGACCTGACTAAAACAAGACAAGATCTACCCTGGGAAGGTCCCTGACCTGACTACACAAGACCTACCCTGGGAAAGTCCCTGACCTGACTAAAACAAGACAAGATCTACCCTGGGAAGGTCCCTGACCTGACTACACAAGACCTACCCTGGGAAAGTCCCTGATCTGACTACACAAGACCTACCCTGGGAAGGTCCCTGACCTGACTAAACAAGACCTACTCTGGGAAGGTCCCTGACCTGACAACACAAGACCTACCCTGGGAAGGTCCCTGATCTGGTTACAGTCAGCACGCAGCTCCTCCAAGGTCCGCTCCCTGTTGAAGACCTCACTGGGCACGTCGTGGAGACTGGAGTGTCTGTAGTCCAGCACGCGGATCTCCTCCTCCATCTTGGGCCGCAGACAGGGGCATTTCTTCACGATGCCCGCCATGTCCTATGGCTGAAAGTAGAGTACAGGGCACTGTTAGCACACATATACTAATCAGCATTCATTCTAGCATCTTTAAATTCATGCATATAACAGTAATCTGATAGTTTAGATATAGTTAGGTGTGTACGTGCTACGCTGATATTTTTCATATGAGCATCATTTTTTTTTTAAAAAAAAAAAACAACAAACAATATCTCTTGTTTAAATCAGCACGGAAACAGCAAAAAATCGAATGAAAGAATATAATACCCAATAGGTGAGTTTAATTAAGATGCTAATTGAATGGGTCAGTGATAATTTTTTTTAACCATTACTGATTTTAGGGTTAGGATCAGGGTAGGGATACCGTGTTATAACTCTCTAACAACTGGTGGCGGTATGAAAAATTCAGCTGTTTTCCTAAGAATGCCAACCTTTTATAGACACGCCAATGGAGACTTTTAACACGAGCTTGACTAAGGGCACAAAGTGACGAATCCAACCGAGCGAGACTTGCGTTAAGTTGTATGTGAATGACGGCTCGGATGAAATACAGTACTTTTTTGAAGTGCTAAACACTAACTACAGTCGGGGTAAAGTTTCAGATGGTGACTTGCTACACCTACTTACAAACTCAAAACCTCAAACAGCTTTGTATTGAACGGTTCAACCCTCTTTGACCCGATATCAATGTATAAAAGAAAGCCCGTTCTTTTATCTGAGTTTAATGCACGGCAATTAACGAGCCGCTTTTGACTTTTAACTGCCTTAATTAAAAAACAAAAGAAAAAACGGGGGAGGTAAGATTAGGCATTCTAATCAACCGTTTGTATCAGAGTTGTATCCCCGAACTGACTTAGGAGAACCCGGTAAGCTGATCACTCGTGTTTGTACGGGCCAATCGGCCGACCCTAGGCAAACGGTGCCCCACAGTTAAACAAACCCTGGGAGGAGGGGGGGGGGCATGTTGTCAGTCATGTTTGAACGGAAGGGGACGGCGAGCGAGTAAATCAGGACAGAAAGCAAGACGGACTGCTACAGCTGAGGTTTTCAAGCACTGGATCCTTTATGTTTATCTCTGGTCACGTCTTCTTAAGAGAAACAAAACCTGTTACAGTTTTAAGTAATGGGAGTTAAAACTGCGATTTAGAATTTTTATAACAGATCTTTATTAAACGTAGAAAGTAGAGTCGTGTCTGAAAGGAGACGTAACTCGCGATAAGAAAACAGTCAAGGATCGCGTCCCCTGGTTTCCAGACGACACTAGCTAAGGGTAACAACAATGCCTAGCGTCAGGGGCTCCGATATGGACCAATAATACGCTAATGCTAGACCCCAGATAAGTGTAATTGTTGGCCTTAGGCTCAATGGCGGTTTTCAGAATGGCGGGGGGAGGGGGAGAAGAGAAGGATTACAGTAATGGTTGTAAATGTGTAGTTGTGTTTGTACAAGGGGAGAGAACTGCTAGGAATAAAGAGTTCCTTGAGGAAATCTACAGTAAAATCATTTATAAAATCTGCACGTCTAGACGGATCTGAAAAACGACAGGAGTGGTTTCCCTGTAATCTACACGCTTTATACTTCGGTATTAGCATGATAAGACAAACAGAAAAAAACTGTTCGATAAAACGGCATTGGATATTTTGAATGAGCATCATTAAAGGCCTAAGCAAAAAGCACTTATCCTATCCATAAGCCTAGCTCTAAACTTGCCAGAACGACGCTTCTCTGGACTAGTGTGGCCGAGAGGCAGAACGTTTGATGGCTAACTCCGAAAATCCTGAGTTCGAACACCCAGACAGACGAGGCTAGTGAGCTGGCGACAGCAACCCATCTACCCAGAAAACTTCTAAATCAAACAACTGTAACCTTGTAGGTTTTTTTTTTGGATAGACACAGGACCATGGAAGCAAATACACAAAGAAAAGACAGGCTGAAGTTGGAGTCAACGAATCATAAGGTGCTTAAAATGTCGACACGCAATCCTTGTGTTGGAGGAAGTACCAACATTACACGTGAGAACGAAGAAAAATGTTGCTGTATTATTGAACAGAAGTCCTATAATTGATGATTCATTAAACATGAACTGAGTTAAGAACCAATCAGAAGGGAACCTCGTTAAATTAAATCAATAAAGGTTTAGAGCAGTGGCAAACATAAGATTAGTGCATATGTTGACAGTACTTGTATGGTGCTCTAGTTGACAGTACTTGTGTGGTGCAAAAGTTGACAGTACTTGTGTGGTGCACTAGTTGACAGTACTTGTGTGGTGCACTAGTTGACAGTACTTGTGTGGTGCACTAGTTGACAGTACTTGTCGTGCACTAGTTGACAGTACTTGTGTGGTGCAAAAGTTGACAGTACTTGTGTGGTGCACTATTTGACAGTACTTGTGTGGTGCAAAAGTTGACAGTACTTGTGTGGTGCAAAAGTTGACATTACTTGTGTGGTGCAAAAGTTGACAGTACTTGTGTGGTGCACTAGTTGACAGTTCTTGTGTGGTGCACTAGTTGACAGTACTTGTCGTGCACTAGTTGACAGTACTTGTGTGGTGCACTATTTGACAGTACTTGTGTGGTGCACTAGTGACAGTACTTGTGTGGTTCAAAAGTTGACAGTACTTGTGTGGTGCAAAAATTGACAGTACTTGTGTGGTGCTCATGTGGACAGTACTTGTACAACCAGGTGTACACAGTGTACCTATTGTAACTGTCGTGGGATTAGTGACTAAGGCGAATTGTTGTTGGTGTTGGGGGAGGGGGATAATTTGGGTAAACTAAAATGTTTTTAAATATTCTTTCAGTTTATGGGTTTAACACAAGTATAAAGGCTTCGTGTATATACAGGCTTTATGTATATATAGGCTTTGTGTATATAAAAGCTTCATGTATCAACAATACTAAGGATGGAAGGGTGAAACACGGTGATAGTCGTGCACAGAATGAGAAGATAGGTATGGTGGAGCACAGTAGTGGGACTGTCAGAGTGGAGACATCCATGCAGTGAAACAGAAAGGTGACGCACTAGGTGAATTAGGACGGAGACAGTCATAGTGAAACAGAAAGGTGATACACTAGGTGAATTAGGATGGAGACAGAAATAGTGAAACAGAAAGGTGACACACGAGGTGAATTAGGACGGAGACAGACATAGTGAAACAGAAAGGTGACACACTAGGTGAATTAGGATGGAGACAGTCATAGTGAAATAGAAAGGTGACACACGAGGTGAATTAGGATGGAGACAGTCATAGTGAAACAGAATGGAGACAGTGAAACAGAATGGTGACACACTTGGTGAATCAGGACGGAGACAGACATAGTGAAACAGAAAGGTGACACACGAGGTGAATTAGGACGGAGACAGACATAGTGAAACAGAAAGGTGACACACGAGGTGAATTAGGATGGAGACAGTCATAGTGAAATAGAAAGGTGACACACTAGGTGAATTAGGATGGAGACAGTCATAGTGAAATAGAAAGGTGACACACTAGGTGAATTAGGACGGAGACAGTCATAGTGAAACAGAATGGAGACAGTGAAACAGAATGGTGACACACTTGGTGAATTAGGACGGAGACAGACATAGTGAAACAGAAAGGTGACACACGAGGTGAATTAGGACGGAGACAGTCATAGTGAAACAGAATGGAGACAGTGAAACAGAAAGGTGACACACGAGGTGAATTAGGACGGAGACAGTCATAGTGAAACAGAATGGAGACAGTGAAACAGAATGGTGACACACTTGGTGAATTAGGACGGAGACAGACATAGTGAAACAGAAAGGTGACACACGAGGTGAATTAGGACGGAGACAGTCATAGTGAAACAGAATGGAGACAGTGAAACAGAAAGGTGACACACGAGGTGAATTAGGACGGAGACAGTCATAGTGAAACAGAATGGAGACAGTGAAACAGAAAGGTGACACACGAGGTGAATTAGGATGGAGACAGACATAGTGAAACAGAAAGGTGACACACGAGGTGAATTAGGACGGAGACAGTCATAGTGAAACAGAATGGAGACAGCCAAACAGAATAGAGACAGCCAAAGTAAAACAGAATGGAGACAGCTATAGCGTAGCACATCTCTGCGAGAACAGCAACAACATTACAATGTACACATCTACTGTGTGCTAACAAACTAGCCGCCATACGCAGCAACAAATCTAAACGCTTCAACGACTCGTGTTTAACTAGCTAACGGTTTTGTCGCCAACCCGACCCCATCCCACACGACCCCCACCCCCGACAAACGTGACTTAAAACGACAATCTTGTGGTGCTACGTCTCGGTATCCCGTCGAAGCGAGAGAGAAACAAGACGAAAAATACCCTAGATTAAATGGCGTTTTCTAACGGAGTTCTGAATGGCGTGTCATGCCTCGTCAGCGCTGTGTCGCACAACACTACGTGCGTGGCGAGGGAGGTATTAGTGCTAGATAAAGGAACTTAGGGGCAGGGGGGATGTGGGGGTGGGGGCGGTAGAAAACAGCACCGCCAGAAATAGATACATAATGGAATAACTTTTCTAAAAGCTTCTTTTGATGGCTGGAAGTTTCAGATGTCATGTATTGAAATCTGGGTAAACTTCCAAAGGTATGGCTGACTGAGGAACGTTGACTTTATCATTCATCAAGTAGTTGATACGGGGACCCCACTAAATGTAGTAAATGAGGACCACTGACATTATAACTTATCAAATATTTGACGCGGGGCCCGACTATATGAGAATGAGGACCACTGCGTTTATTACTCATGAAATATATGACGCAGGGCCCCATTATGTGAGGACCACTGACTTTATCACTCATCAAATATTTGACGCAGGGCCCCATTATGTGAGGACCACTGACTTTATCACTCATCAAATATTTGACGCGGGGCCCCATTATGTGAGGACCACTGACTTTATCACTCATCAAATATTTGACGCAGGGCCCCATTATGTGAGGACCACTGACTTTATCACTCATCAAATATTTGACGCAGGGCCCCATTATGTGAGGACCACTGACTTTATC